AAGTATTATTTATATAAGAAAATATATACATATTCTGGATTTGCAATTTTCAAATATGTTACATATTTTTGCATATCATGATTTTAACAGGTCATGTTTGTACCATTTCGCAGATATTTTTCAACTTGAACTTTGAAATATAAAAAAAATGTAAAGTTATTACGTCAGAAATTGAGTTTTTCAACATTTTGGCAACCTGGCGACCTTTAAATTAATTTTTCGTTTTCAGCTAAGTTTCCCTATACCTATTGATTCAAGTTAGTTATTTAGTAGAACCTCTTATATGGTCAACTTCTCGATCAGGTTTGCCGCATTATTCTCGCTCGGTTTATGCTATTTTCGTGGAAAATACGGTTTTCACCGCGGTACCGTTCTCCTTCATCTGCTTCAGTTTTATTTCTTCGGTTCTGTCTCGACTAAAGTATACGGGGCAATAAGGAGCAATGAAATATCAACTCTTTGGACTCTATCATATCAAAATGGCTAATAATTGTAACTTATAAAATTAATTGAATTCTGCTATTCGCGAAATTATTTTAAGAACTTGCACATTGCACACACTTGCATCAGACGTTACTGTAAACTCAAAGAAAATAGTGCTAATTACACAAACATATTTCGAGAATGGTTGGAAAAGACTTAACCAAACCGTTTGCGGTAATAAATGAAAGTGAAATTTTGGAAAAATTATTACACAAATGAAATGGCATTTTTAATATGTGCAATTTGGATCTCAATTACCCTGATTCGTTGTGACAGACTGGTTTCGATGGGCGATATATCATCGAAAACGTGTTAGTCTCCTAAAGCCACAAAAACTATCTAGTTTTTTGGTAGAATTTTATGAATAACACAGCCGAAGGCCTTTATGAGGTATTAAAGAGACTATAGATTCAAGGTAATTAACAATACCAGGCTTCATAACTAGGGGGAAATTATTAAGATAGGGCGATAGTTATTAACTTTCTCTATATCACTGTTCTCGAAGACCTTAAAAAAAAGTCTCCTTCAGGAATGCACAAGTTGTATCACAGTTGCCCATAAAAAAGAAGTTTTTGTAAAAAGTATTACAGTAGCCTGTGTGTGTGGTTTTTTTGTATAATTGTGGATTGGTTGCTAGTTGTAGTAGATTAGTTGCTAGTTGCTAGTTAGTTCTAGTTGCTAAAAGGTAGTAAAAGCTGTAAAAACTCGAGAGACTTCGTTTCGCAAAAATCATTCAATTTGTTGACATTGCATTGTGGGCTTCAGATGAGAGTTATAATGAAAACGAAGAATATTTCAAACAAATGAAAGTTGTAAATGAAGCGGCGAGCGTGGTCTCTTTCTCATTTCAATACTTGCTGCATACTGTCAAAGAACATAGAGGACTATCTAATAACTAAATCTAAAATCTGTATATTAGTCTATTGATACTGTATTAAGGTATAAAATTTCATATTGCGGAACAGAATTCTTTTTCTATTAATTCATTTATTGATATTCCTTGAGTAAAGAACTTTTTTCTGTAATAGCTAATTCAATGAGCAAATTGAAAAAAAATCCTAAATTGAACTGAGGTGGCTCTTACTTCATGAAAATCTATTTAACAAAATATATAAGAACTAAAAGTTCAGATATTCAAGAAATTATATATATTCACATGACAATTATTTCGACAACACCGTGTCTTGATCAAATGTAATATTTGTGTTGTGGAAACAATTGTCATGTGAAAATATATAATTTCGTGAAAATCTGAACTTTTGGTTCTTATTTATTTGATTAAATTTCCTGTATTGACATTAAAACATTTCACGATAATTATTTTTTGATTCGGCTCATATCAATGATAAGGTGGTATTACCATACGATTTGGTGCATGAAAGTTGTTTTTTATTACATAACTTCTAATAATTTTTGAATCATTTTCTGTTCCCATTAAAAATTTCAAACAACTTCTAACAGTTGTTTTGTTCTTGTAAAAACCGCCACGTGTAACTGTTTTTATTAAATAACCTATTCGAGTTTTATGTATTTTACGCTATATCCGCAAAGTAATAAACCGCGTAATTACGTCCCTAACGTCTCCGGTTGATTACGACCAAATTAAATCGTCGACTTTAAAGTTTTCCTAACGATCGTCAGCAATACCGTCGGCCATTTTGCCGACGTTTCAATCGCGTTGAGTTTTTAGTCGACTACCGACTTCAGCCTGTAACGAGCGCAGCTTGTTTCCTTGTCCATAAATCCGTTTCACGCGTCAGGATAAACAGGGATCGTTAGTTTAATTTTAAAATAAGTAAATCTTCTACGTGATAAATAGGCAACCAACAATACGCTGATTAAAGCCCGATTTACGAGCTAGTCGGCGAGCTAGATATCGTCTTAAAAATTAAAGACCTGCTCCTTTTAAACGCAATATAAATGCAATACAACGTACAGGGCGTCCGAAATAATGTTACCTAACTTTTCAATCAGAAACTGCGAAGTGGATATATCGAATGTCAATGAAAAAGTACCATTTTTTCCCAATAGGAAACCGCTATTTCCGCAATTTTATCCCGATTTGCAATTAAAAAATAATCGGTGTTTCCGAAATAACTGACAGAAAGAGAAGTTTGATTTCTAAAAAACATACTTTATTAAATTAAAATTTAAAAACCTGATTTCTCAAAGACACTTCCGCAGGCTGCTGTAATACTTTTTAAAAATTTTTGATTGATTACACAGGTCTACAGTGATTTTGATGTTTGAACGCTTATTTGTATATTTTTGGGGGCCTTTCTTCCAAAAAAACGCCATATTTTTGCTCTATCGCGTCATTTTAAAAATGCTATTTTATTAATATACATACCAATGATATGAATATGTGTACATGTGATTTGGCAACATTGGATATTTCCTAGATTGGATATTCTTAGATTTCTATGAAAATCTAAGAATAGTCAATACAGCATCAATGCAGATTTGCACCTTATAAAGGATGCAACAGCGAGCTTTTACCTGCATCGCGAAAAAGATCAATCAATATTTTACTCAGGAAGGACCGCTAGTGTATTGCAACATTACATACTTGCAACTTATACATTAAAGCAGAATGGCATCTGTTTTAAAAGGTCTTTTATTGCACTCACTTTTTTTTTTAATAGGATTCCACTTTTTTCCTGTTTCCTTATGTGATAAATGCATAGAATTTTAGAAATCAGCCTACCAAAATTACATAAAATCAGTTTTCAAGTTAAAAACATCAGTCGAAAAGTTTAATTTGGTAGACCAGTGTTATTTTTATGATATGCTTTCGTTTTAAAACTCACTTTGATATGTATGGTATCATTTTGGAATGGTAATAGTAATTGAATTAATAGAAATATATGTATTAATATTGGATATTGGACGATGAAGAAGTGGAAAATATGTATGCAACTCTAATTAACTTACTAAAGGAATTGTAAAAGCATGACATTTCCATCGTGATAGGGTATCAACTCAAAATTCAGCAGTTCTAAGCTGCAGAAATCAATGCAGACAGGAGCGACACAGGGCTTAATTATTGAATATAAAAATCGAACTACTACGTTGTCATGTTCGGGGTAGAAACATGGAAACTTACCAAACTAACTATAAGTATGTCAGAACTATTTGGACACTGACTATTAAGAAGACTATTAAAATCATCTGGGATCTAACCAAGAAGTGCTACGAATGATGAATAAAGTTCCAAAGCTTGTGAGGAGCTAATGAGGAACGACAAAAGGTAATGTGAGTTAACGTTCGAAACCAGTCGGCAATTATTGAAGAGAAAAAAGAAGAACCATTGCTATTTTAGTACTATTCTTGCATTAATATTGACTACTAGAAGCTGGTAAACGTATCTCATTAGATTGTCATTGTCATCAAATATGAAAGCTCACTTTTTTTTAAATTAAAATGAAAACTAATAGTTTTTGCTTTTTTTATTTACTGCATACAGTAAAGAAAGATGTATGTTTTTTGGTATAATATAAAAACCTAGCTTTTATATTCAAGAACATAGCATAGCACTTAGGGAAGTATATTGGGGCCTCTATTATTTATTATCAGATAATTGTTATCTATCACTATTTACTGATGACACAGCTGTGGTTTCCTGCGGAGCCGACATGGAGGATCTCTATAAGAACTCTAACGAGGCGGTGGCTGATATTGTTGATTATTGTAACAGAAATAGTCTTATATAAAATTATGATAAAACTGAATTGATTCATTTCCCACTAAGAGGCATAGATAAGAGCATCTTAGTTAAGTGTAATAATAAAACGATCGACGAGAGGCGGGTTGCGAAATTTCTGGGAATTCATTTCGATTCTGGTCTTGCTTGGTCTCAAAAAGTTATCCACACACTGTTTTATTATTTGTCAACTTAGAAGAAGGGTCGAATATATTCTTTTATTGCTATATTATATTCGTGTATTCAGTCCTGTTTAAATTATGCTATTATTGCTTGGGTAATTGCTCCCGATCGCATAAAATATTTTTGTTCCAAAAAAGGATTATTCGTACAATGTACTTTAGACCGAAACGTTGTTCCTGCAGAAATATATTTATTAAAACGCAAATTTTGACATGTCTATACATACTAAATTCGGTAACGATGATCAAATCTAATTATAATGAGTATATATGTATGCGTGCAAGCAATGAACATTATAGTTTCGGACAGAATTATAACCTAGATATTCCAAAATATAAATTAAGTTTGGTAGCAAATATACCTCTAATTCGTTGTGTGTTTTGACATTATTATCTAAATGAGTCAATGGTATTGTCGAATTGTTAATTATATTATAATCGCAAACACCATTGTGTCACATGTCACGTATAGGTCTGTAGTACAGGTTAAAAATTATATAATTTCTGAACAATACAATTTTTCATATATTATATAAATGCGTATTTGCATAATGGTACCAATTTCTTAACTCTATTCCTATAAAATATTCGGCATGAAATGAGATACTATAAGCATTTCTGGTTGCTTTCAGATGCATCTCCTTCCGAATAGACCCACTATGCATTAGACTACAACCATGGTGATGTGTAACGCGATGGAATCGATAGTGATCCCAAGACCACCTGCGTTACCGCTGGGTCCTTTGGCATCCATGCCCAACAAGAGGAGCTCTCCGCCCTTTCCCACTACAAACGCCGACCTTACGCAGAACAACGAATCGAACACGGCTTTATACGAGGAACGGAAGTTCACCCAAAAGTTGGTGGAAAACAGCAAACTCATCTTCAGGAACGAAAGCGTGAGAAGCAAGATCAGCACCAGGAGCGCTACCTCTCAACATTCAAACGGATTCAGGCTTCGCGATACCAACAACAACGGGTTAAATAATGGTTTGAACGATAAAGAAGACACTGGTTCTATTTACAGCGTCTATAAGCAAAAAATAGATAGCATGTTCGAATCGGACTCTAGCGTCAGTCACGGCTCCAACCACAACAGCGTTCAGGCGAAAATCGAGAAGATGTTCAGCGACGTGGCCAAAGAGAGCGGCATCCCTCCCAATCAAATAGGGTTGCACAGTTTCTCAGTAGACTATCTTGGAAGTACATCGCTCCAAGACAAAGTGACCAGCCTCGACGGTCTGCAGAATCCCCTGAGGGAACTGTATTTCTCTTACAAAAAGCACACCAAACCTAAACAGAAACTGTCCGGTAGATTGGAGATATCCTCCCAAGGTTTGAGGGTGCAGTATCAAGGAGTGAACGGTGACTTGGAGCAGATGAATTCGTTTCCTACTATAGCGGTCTGGTCCGCGGTAAAGTTCGTTATCCAGGAGAGCAGCTCCGGATTGTGTTACGCATTTCTGCCGCTGATCACCGATCCCGATAATATGGACAAGCAGATGTTGTTCAGGAACTTGGAGGGCGCGGAGAAGAAGTACGTCCATGTCGAAGACCACTCGCCTTTGTTCGCGGTCGTGATGAGGAAGATCGGAGTGCAGAAACAACTGGAATGTCACGGGTAAGCGTTTGTTTTGATTACTTTTATTAGAGTCCTGCCGAGTTCTGATACCGTCTTTTTGGTGGTCTGCCTTGTGGTCTCCCTGTCGTTGGTTCTCTAAACCACAGCCAGAATTCCTAGTTCTCTTCTAATACAACGACTTCTCTTCCTGTCTCTGCCGCTGCCGCTAGTAACAATCCACGATCAGCATAGTAGCACATTCAACAATATAGGGCTAGTTCTGGTAATTGTAATTCTTGTAATGTTTCCGATACTCAGTTCTGTAATAACATTTTGATGTTTATGATGTATATTATTCTATTTTAAGCTAATGAAATTCGATCTGTTTGAGATACCAGGAGTTTGCAGCATTCCAAAGAATACATTGGAGAGACTAGACGAACAATATCAATTAGGAACAGACGGACAAAACTAAAACTCTTGCATGCAATCAATTCTTCTGCCAACGAAAAATCCTAGAATCTTTAGAAATCTATAAGCATCCAAGCAATGTTCCTTTGGAAAATTGGACAATATTTTATCCACCAGCAGCAAACATGCGAGCATGGGCTTGTTGAAGTCGATTGGTTATTCCATTTCGTAGTTATAGTAGTAGTTCTCCTCAATACTTGATACTTGATCTATATTATCAACACCAGGCGGTTTTCTTATTAAAGCTTCAACTTCCTTTATCGGTGCATTCTTTTTCTATGTTCCGCCCCATCTGACGCCCGTATATAGTAAGCTTTTATTGAAAATGTTTAATAGTACTCCTTCTTTGGTTGTCGTGTGTAACGGTTTCGTAAATTTTATATACTCCAATAGTTAAATAAGAACAAACGTTGTTAAGATTTTCACATAAATATATTTAAATGACAGCTGTTTCAGCAACACCTTTATCAAATGCACGGTGTTGCCGAAACAGCTGTCATTTAAATATATTTATGTGAAAATCTGAACAACGTTTGTTCTTATTTAACTATTTTAAATGGATTTTCATCAAGTAAAAGCCACTTCAGTACAATTTATATACTCTCTTTTTCCAGTGTTTTAATATCGTTGGTGAAACATTCCCTTATAACCTGATATTGAGTCTTCTTTGATATGGTGCTCTTTTCTCATGACGACTCTTTGTTGAATGTTGACACATGATTTGCAGAGAAAGAGGGAATGTTGTGCCTTTACATTCGATGATGTTAGTTAGTTAGTTAGTTAGTTTCGCACTTCCGTATATTACGTACATATTTTACTGGTCCGGGCAAAATACTCTTGATTTTTCATCGGATGTTACGCACCATCTATAACTTCTACTACGATTATAAAGTACAATATTTTCACTATTGTTCTGGTTATAAAGTACGGGTGTGCACTAAAACCGGACTATCGAGCGATGAGATTGGTATCGGTAAAGCAAAAGTTGACAAAAGAAACTGGCTAAAACAACAACATAATATTACTGAAGTTTTAAGCCACCGGTCGTTCAGAGTTCGAATTGGTAACGCTTTTTCCCTGCCACAAAATGTGCCTAGTACTGTTCCCCAGGGATCGATACTAGGACCAATGACATTCTTAGTGTACGCCGTGGATTTTCTCTCCAGTATTGATTCTCATATGAGCGCTTATGCTAATGACACTAAATTGACACATGTGCACGTATTGCAGAGACTTGAATACTATTTCCAAGTGGTGTTCAACTTGGCTATTGCCGCTGAATGCTCAAAAGTGCTATGTGCTGCATGTTGGCAAGAATAATCCCGGTTTGAATTATTATATCAATGGAAACTTTGTGTCAAGTATCGATTCTCAGATGAACCTAGGTATGATCCTGCGTAGTCTGTACATGTATCAAACATTGCAAAGAAAGCAAACTGCGCTTTATTTTTGTTAAAAAAGACTTTTAAAAATCCTAGTCCTCGCATCGCTTGCAGGCTTTTCACCACTTACATTCTCCCCATCCTGGAATTTGCTTCCCCAGTCTGGAACCCATGGCTATTGCGAGACTGTGATGTTCTGGAAAGAATGCAACGAGCCGTTACGCGTTGGCCACTTCTACTTGGACATACACCTTACTATGACCGTCTCTAAATACTTAATCTGCTAACATTAAGTCAGCGTCGGCTGCCAGGGGATCTCATTCAAATGTATAGGTTTGCGCATGACCAATTCCCATTTGACGTGCCCCTTGTGGCAGCAAAGATGACCGCCTACGTGGTCATCCATTTCAAATAAGAAAGGAACAATTCAGGACTTTGCATCGCCTGCATTTTATAAGTAACAGGACTTTCAATTATTGGAACAGTTTACCCCCAGATGTTGTATGTGCGCCGAACTTGTCTGTATTTAAACGTCGCTTGGACAGTGTAATGTTTCACAGCAATAACTAAATATTTATTACATATATTATGCTACTAATTATCAATGTGCACTTTATTCTTTGTAATAATAATAATAATACTAATAAAATGGTCCTCAAAGCTCTGGCAACGAAAGCGACGATGATGTTCAACATGACGAAGTACCAAGTTATTCTGAAGCGCTTTGCGCCGTTAAAATTGTTACACATTTTTGCAATCTATTAATAATGTAACTGATGATATTATAGATAATAGATGATCGATAAGTTTTTATTTTACTTAGTTTAGTTTCCTTCGTTAGTTGGTACCTATATTAGTGTTTATTAGTTTTTTATTGTTTTTTTTTTGTGTTTTTTTCGTAGCTCAGCTTAGTTTCTGAGAGCAAACGAATATCAATAATATTATTAACGATTTCCATTCGCACTTTTTTATTTATCAGTTTCTATTATTTCCAGATTTGTCTGCCAAACATCAGAAGATGCGATCGTAATAGCGGCCACTTTGTACAAATCGCTGGTAAGTCACATGAAGAACAAAGAGGTCAAGCCAAAGAATAGAAATGGCGTGACGACTTGCATGTCCACCGCTAGCAGTATCGTGGAAAAATCTAACGGATCGGTTCCCGTCAGACCACCGAGGAAAAAGAGAAGCTCCGCTTCTTCCATCGCTAGCGACACCAATTCCATCACCAACGTAAGTCCGACCTTTCGTGATGGTTGTTAATTAATAGGTGTTTAGGTTACTCAAAAACTACTATAAATATTAAATAAATAATTAATTTTTCATTTGCATTTGTCTATATTGCAACGCATTCAATTTTTTTGATTGCAAACAAGTCAAAAATCGACAAAAAATGCGGTGATACGATATTATGGTGACAACTTCTGTCACAAATTAGAAGTTATATTTATTTTTTGGAATGGTGATGTTTAGTAATAATTAAATTTTATGAAATCCTGAATGCACTTTATATGGCTGAGAACTCAATGTATCTAAAATGAATTCGCAAAACTTCGATCCAGGTTTCAGATACCCCACTCCCGTCGAGTTTGAACGAAAAGTCGCCGAAAAAAAGCATCAAAACGAAGCGTGCGCCGGATGCGCCGAAACACGAGGACCTGGATGCCATTTTGCCATACGAGGAGCCCATAACGATTAGTAAAAACGGTTTAAGCAACGATGGCACGCAGGAGGGGTCTGCGGAAGTCAAGCCCAAGACATTTAGCGGTAACTACTCGGAACCAGCTCGGAGATTTTGATACGAAACTTCTTTTTGCAGATAAAGTCAGCACTTATATGAGCGAAGAACAGAAAATGCTGGCCGCAGAGATGAAGCAAGTGGTGTGCGATCCGGATAAAGGCTTGAAGAGGGCTCAAAGCTTGCGCAAAAGGGACGAAGACCAGGCGAGGAAAAAGGAAAACTCGGGGGACATATTGACCAAGGTCACCATACCCAGATCCGGTAGCTTCTTGAACACCGGCGGATTGACCAGGTACAAGAACAAAGCGTCCAGGAATAACGACTCTGCCGGCGGAGGCTCTCCCCTCGGATTCCAGGAAATTTTCCACGAACTGTCGCTGCAAGAAGGACTTCACTCGATGGACGAGATTTTGTCGGTCATAATCGATCCGGACGGCATGTCCTTCAACGACCTGAAGCCCATCTACAAGGAATTTTTGCTCAAGCTGGCCGTCACTTTTACGAAAGACGAGCTGTATCAGAAAAGCAAGAGTATCATGAGACGGCAGAAAAAGAGACTCGTAAAAAGGTAAGACATTTTATCATTTACCTGTTTGTTGGGAAACGAATCTTACCGGAAGTAATCAAGGGTCAAGAGCGACTCTTTAGTTAACAAAATTTAGATCAAGGTCCATATTTGACGAAGAGTATTTCAAAAAAACGCTTGAAAACGTAGACTGTTTTGTCCCTGTTCTGGGGCTGACATTTACCATTACAAATTGGAATGAATGGATGCACCCCTGCATACTACAAACAAGATTCCTGGGAAGTTCTGAATCACCTGATTTTCTTCAGGAAGTGGAGAGTTGTTGGGAAGAAAGGCCTAGCCGCATTTTTTCTTCCTCTAATCCGTCTATCGAGTAACTTTCAAAGATGAGGAAATAATATTCCTGCAAAGCAGACACTGGCCTTGACTTTCTTCAAGAAGTCTGGTGATTGACTATTTCCACTATAACAGTCAAATTTATGAACAAATAGCAGGAACAGCTATGAGTTCTCCATTATCAGCAGTCATCGCAGATATATTTACGAAAGTTGTTGGGAAGAAAGCCTTAATCCGTTTATCCAGTATCTTTTGAAGATGAGGAAATAATATTCCTGCAAAATAGTCGGGTGACTGTAAGGGTCAAATTTAGAAACAAAAAGCAGGAATTGCTACGTTCTCCATTATCAAGAAAGCCTTATCAGCAGTCATTGCAGACATATTTATGAAATTTGTTTTGCAGAAAGCTCTGACAGCTTTTTTTTCCTTCCTTTAATCCGTCTATGGAAGATGAGGAAATAATATTCCCGCAAAGTAGTCCTTCACGAAGTCAGGTGATTGACTATTTATACTATAACCGTCAAATTTAGGAACAAATATCAGGAATTGCTATGAGTTCTCCATTATCAAGAAAGCCCTGACTTTTTCTTTTTCTTCCTTTAATCCCTCTATCGAGTACCTTTTGAAAATGATAATTGACTATTATTATCATAACGATGTAACATATGAACAAATACCAGGAACCGCAATGAGTTCTCTGTTCTCACCAGTCATTGCAGACATAGTTGTTTTGAAGAAAGCTCTGGCAGCTTTTTTTTTCCTTACTGCCAAGTAGTCAATGGTCTGACTTTCTTCAAGAAGTCTGGTGTTTGCCTATTTCCACCATACAGTCAAATTTGTATTCTCCATTATCAGCAGTCATCGTAGATATATTTATGAAAGTTTTAAAGCAGAGAAAGTCATTGCGACTTTTTTTCTCTTTTTTTCCATTAGTCCGTCAATCGAGTATCTTTTGGAGATGAGATGGATAGAGACACGTTGTACACTACCAAATAATGTTCGTGCAAAGTAGTCATTCGTCTGCCTTTCTTCAGGAAAAGTTTTATTGTTTCAGATCGCCCAGTATTAAAAGAAATCAGCACAAACTGGTGGCCAACAAATTCAAAAAACTGAAGCACATCTTCCAGAAGAATCCCAAAACGGCGTCGAAAAATAATCCCGACGAGAGCAGGAAAAACAGCGGCTGCTCGATCGAAACGCACATCAATCAGAAACTGGCGGAGAGCAGTATAAGCACCTCGTCTTACGACACTAGACAGTTCCGGCCCAAGGAGGAGTTTTTCGAGAAGAGGCCCAATTTTAAGAAGAAAGGGGAGCTGCGTAGGACCAGGAGGAGAGATCGGACGAGCACCAGCGAGGAATCGGACTTTCTGTCGCTCAGACGGCAACAAAAATTGAAAAACCGCAACACGAATTTGCCGGTTTCGAATCAAAACCGGAACTCTTCGTCGGGGTACGTGTCTTGGTCGGAATGCAGCTGCGATTCAGATAGCTGCGAGTGCGACTCCGCCGAGAAGTGTTACTGCAGCTTGGGGCAACGAAACTTCGAAGGCAGGAGACGTAAGCGATTCATTTTTACTTGTTACTTTCGAAAATCGATGAAATCGAATTTTCCGAAAGTATCTACGCACGTATAAAAACGGTAGGTCCTATGGGATCATCTTTGGTACAGAAATGATCACCGTAAAAAAAAAAATTAATTTTGTCTGTCCGTGCTCCGTTCTCTGTTCTGGTCTTTTGGTTTTTCCTGAATAGCTTTCGAACCATTGGAGCTCCTTTTTAACCCTCCACGAGGCACATAAGCTGATCCGACGTCGGTATCCATCTTTTTTTCGCGATTTTGGACTTTTTTTTGGACGTTGATATGAAACACGATAAGTGTCCGAAATTTGAAGCAATTGACTTCATATTTGGCATATATATGCAGCTTTGCCTCTTGACGGAACCTGGGGAGTCGGGAAGTATTCTAAAAAAATTAAAAATGGCGTGTGCAAGAGTCTACAAAAACACCATTTTTTAAAAACCGTTTACGAGAGCAAAAAAATTCTTGAACCAGAAGACCCAGAAGATACGACTCCATAAACTTTTCAATTTTTCAAAAATATACAGAGTCCGCTGCAAATTCAAAAAACTGAAAAATGGGTCCCCCTATTATTGAAAGTTGGTTATAACCGAAAGACTATGATTCAGATCTCACTTTCTTTTATATTGCGATATAGCCCGCCTAGACGGCAAAAACTTTTGTATTCGTTGTACAGAGTGTTCCCGATATTCCGTGCTAATTGAGAAATGTGTTAAGTGTCCTAAATTTTACCAAGTATTTTTTTAAAAATTGTGAATTTTTTTTTTTTTTTGGTAATTTTAGCTTCTAGAAAAATATGTTTTCCTCCATAATCGTTCACCCGATTGGCAAAATTCTTTAACCAGCACACGCGGGTGATCCAGTGAAATAACATTTATTTCAGGCATTTTTTCGATTATATACAGGGTTTTCAAATTATAGGCAAAAATCTAAAAGACCTAGAAAATTATTCTTTTGCAGAGTAAATTAACAGGCGCAAATCAAAAATCGTAAAAAATATGGCTAATCGGTTCAATTGGTTTATTTGTCTGTTCTTCGTCCTCTCCTCTCTGTTCTCTGTTCTCTGTCGACGCTTCATAAAACGTAAAGAACTTCCGAATAGTTTGCGTGAAAATTTGCTACTTCTAAACAGCCCACTCAATACATAATCTTAAAAGAAATAGCCGCGACCAGACCTTGACGTTCGCTATGAAACACAATAAGCGTCAGAAGTTTAAAGCTACCAAATTCAAATTTGGCACAGGTATCGATATATAAAAATTTTTTTAAACATTGGACATTTATGCCTACATAATTAAGTTAGCTGGTACTTGTCCATATTAATTCAAGAGAGCTGTAATATGTCCAGTTTATAAGCAAAGTCAGAGAAATTTGGTGACCAACTATCGTCCGATTGCATTAATTTCAAATTTTGCTAAGATTTTTGAAAAAATGATTTTTGTCAGATTATTCAACTATTCAAACTTAAGTCTTAGCTTACGGCCAACGGTTGTGACTTTTTTGGAGTACACAAAAGCTTTTGATACAGTTGATCCCGTTATACTAGTGATCAAATTGCAGAATATGGGAATAAGGGGTGTAAGTTTGTCCTTGATAGCAAGTTATCTGAAAGATAGACGCAAAGTTGTAAGGGTAAATGGTACTAAAAGTTAGCAAGTTAAAATAAATGTTGGAGTGCCTCAGGGCTCAATACTTGGACCAATATAGTTCATCTTCTATATAAATGATTTGTTGGTTTTGCAAGATACCTTAATTGCATATGCTGATGATACTGCAGTACTAATGAAAGCAAAATCATGGCCCGAACTTTCAACAGTCATCTCCTCAACTCTGGATATTATATACTCTGTCAACACAGACAAGTCTGTTCTTGTCTCTTTTGGAAACTATAGAAACTCTGTTCCACAGGATATTGAAATCAAGATTAACGGTGTGAATCTGAAAAAAGCTACCAGTAGTAAATATCTAGGAATAGCTTACGACTATAATATAAAATGGGATGTTCACGTGGCTGACACAGTAAAAAAAAACAAATACTTAGTATATGTTTTTTATAGACTCAAGGAAGTACAAATTTATTATGGTCTTTTCCGTAGTGTCGCTGTGTATGCAATCATAGGCTGGGGAGGTCTCTACAGTTGTTTGTTTGACCAGTTGGATCGGCTTCAGAAGCGTATTCTTAAAATTATTGGAATAAATTAAGTTATGTTAGGGCCAACCTATGTACGGGCAGTATTTGCCCCCTATAGGCCCTTTACTAAAAAAATATTTTTTATGTAAAAGGAATCTTAGGAAATAAATATTATTATTATTATAATTTAGGGTGGGTCATAAATTTGCAAAAAACTAAAAAAAGCAGGGGGCGTGTTGACTATTAAAATCCATTTTCTGCAAAATTTTCTTCTTCTGAATACTGAGACAAATTCTTTTCCGCTATTCTTTTTAATATATTTTAACAAACTCGAAGTTATCAAGATAAGATATATGAATGAATGAACGTATGATTTTTTTTACGTCATTGAATAATGAAACCTCAATATCCTACTACTATTCTAACCCGCAATATGAATAAAAGGCTTTAAAACCCAACCGAAATTGAATTTTGGTAAGCATCTTCGTAGTAGTGAAGTTATATTGAAATTTTAAATGGGATACCACGTATATCATTGCATTTTCTGATCCGCTGATGATTTAAGATGGTTTTTGAATAACACGTTCCTATACCTATTTTAAGCGAATTTATTTTCTCTATTTTTCCGAGCAAAAGAGCTTCAATTAAATTCTTATTACTACAAGACTGGAGCCAGGGGAAAGTTAACATCATACGGGGTTGGTCAAAAGTAATACGCATATTCTAAGAGGAAATTAAATTCCCTTTCTAATGATGTACATTCTGAAACAAAAGAGAGTTTCTCTGAAAACTGAATTATTTTGGCATTAATTCATCTTTTAGGTGGCCAGCTTATGTTACATAAATCATCGCCCACTTACCACTTCAATAGCGATTTACTCATTATTGATTGTGGCGCAGCTATTATCTATAAAATCGGTTCACAATGGTTGGAAACCAGTACTCTGATGCTGTTTTATGCATGGACAATGCAACAACATTATAGCCAGAACAATCATTTAATCATTTAAATCAATTTAGTTAGTGAAATTTTTTGAAGCACTCTCCTAGACAAAGTCCTGCGTTTTCTGGACATGAGGGATAGAAAAACATGGTGTCTTTCCGCAGTTTCTGGCTGTACCACATTCTGCATCTTTTTTTTTATTTGGTTTCCTTTATCATTTTTATCGAATTGCAAGAAAAGATGTTGATGTAGCTGGGCATGTTTGTTTATTTGTTTTGTTTGCTTCAGAAAGCAGTTCTTTTATAACAGTATGCCGAAAACTGTAATCAAGTGTTTTCATTAGAAGAATATTAAATAATAGAAAACTATTCAATGTTACATATTCATTACATATTCTTATTATATTCGCTCTTGGCTTGCCTTTTCCTTAGCTTCTTGGATTCTCTTGTTTTTCCAAAGTACCATCAAACTTCGTAGAAATAAACAAAACTTCTCCTTTATCTTGCCACTTTCCTATCACTACGTTTTCTGAGGATTTTCCCCACAGAGCTTTGCCTCTACATCGTCTTTTCTATTTTCTTTTCTGTCTTTTCTTAGAGTACCAGCGATAAAGGCGTTTCTTAGGAAAAGTTCTTTAGCAAGGGAAAAACTATTGTAGAAATTATTAATAAACACACTCTGTCCCATGCCTAAATAATTTTGCTTCAATGCTATAACAACATTCGGACATATCATTTTCTGCACTAGCGTAAATTTTTACTCTGCACAAGGATAGTGTTACATCTGTGCCAAAAATCATTAGGCAATAACCCAGGATGAAGGGGATATCATTTTTACACCGATAAATACTATACGGGCTTGCCACTTGCAGAAGAAATGTTAATTGTTCATTTGACAGGTATTATTTAAATCAACCGTAAATTTATACCTGATTCCAACCAACATTTGCAGAAGTTAATACATTTGCATGCAGATCAGGTAATTTGATACTTTTTACAAAACTTCTGGATTCCTCCTGTGTCGGTTTTTGCTGAGTCGAAATTGCTGACGTTTCGCCAATCATCCTGTTGGCTTCTTCAGAGCTTGACTGAAACTGAAACAGGATGATGGGCGAAACGTCAGCTATTTCGACTTAGCAAAACCCGACGCAGAAGGAATCAAGAAGTTTGGTAAAAAGTATTGCAGTAGCCTGCGGAAGTTTCTTTGAAAAAAAATCAGGTAATTTGATGTTATTGGCATATTTCATGAACATAACCTATCAACAAAAGAGTACGTGGAGGTAACTGGAAATGTTTAGTGTCAATGCATGTTTATAATATAAAATTTCACAATGGGGTCAAGACAAAAAAAAACAATATCACATCTAAAGTGTGTTCGGGAATTGGTTGACGAGATGACAAAAAACTTTAGGCAGGGGTGCAAAATTTCTGGCAGACCATGTTAAATGGTAAATTACATATTTTACTCCAAAATGATGGTGGTATGTTTTAAGCGTAAAGTATAAGGCAGCAGGCGGGAAACTAGGTATATTTGTGACACTTGCCCTCGTACACATTGGTGACTGCTTCGAACACTAGAACATTGTAGAATGTAATTTTTTTATATTGTGTATGAATTTATTTAATAATAACGGTAGTGATCATGATAATAATAATAATTTTTTTTTTAAATCCCACACTTTTTATAAAGCGATTTTTTTTAATTAAAAGAGAACAATATAAAAAAAATCAGATAAGTAGATAAAGTAATAGTCCGAGTACGGTGTACTCGCGATACGAGTGCTAAGGGTTAAAACTAAGCCGGAGGGTTCGCAAAGGATATACAATTTTACACCAAACCACACACAAACAATAAATAATAATAAATTTTATCCATTTTACTATTTATATAATCTTGAATGAATATTATTTAATGCAATCGATCTCCGTACCCAGGTTCTCCTCTCTTTGGGATTTTTGAACAATGCAAGCAACGCATTACGAGTAGAAATCGGTTTCTATTCATATGTTGCGAAAAAAGCCCAAATTGCAAAGTTCGTCTGTCTTTCAATAATCCTGGGTTCTCTTTATTTTGAACGGCCCATATAAAGCCAATATTTCGGAAAGGGTTTTCGGGATTGCTCAGTGGTTTTCTCTCTAAGAAAAACTTCTTCTGCATATTGATTCTTCCCGTCAACAACTCATCTGTGATTAATAATTTAAAAAATCCATCCGGGATTACCTAACAATGGAATTTGTTTTAAACTTATCCCTGCAGTCCATCCAATATTCGACAAGTTATTGCTTCGCCACTTGAGGAAGGCTCATACTCACTTCCACTATTCATAAACGGTTCCTCAACACTTTTTAAAGCGTTAGCCAATGTCAGCAGTTGATCGTCCATTATAGGTTCTATCCCACTCGATACATTTTTTTTTGCGCCTGAATAGACACCACTTCTTTAAAGAAATTCCCAAAACCGGCAATGCAAAAACACCTGCTCAAACGCGCCAAAACTGCTCAAAAAAGCACATGACGATGTCCCTACCAATATTGATGAGTGACTAAACTTAATTTGTCTATACCAACTCTGTGGTTGCAGGAGCGAAGTGCATGTGCAACGAAGACATAGAATTCTGCGGGTGCGACACTGATTCGTGTTCTGAATCTAACAAGTGCTACTGCCAGTACGTCGCTAAACGTCGCCAACGTCGCGGCTCGGGATTCGACGTTTCTCCCCTCTCCCACCAAAAGCTATGCAAGAAGTCCTCCAACACGAAGAGCTCGAGGAGTCTGGAGTACATGTCGAACCCCAGCGAGAGTTACTACGAGAAACTGAGGAGCAAAAGCAAATACGGCAGCGAGCGTACGCACTCTTATTACCGCAACAATAGCCTGAAGAAGAAGCGCAGGAATAGCCACTTGGGGGTGAGCACCGTCCAGGAGGAGTTTGACGTGGGCGGGGAAAAATTGTCAGCGATGGACCACGAGCTAATAAAGCTGATGAAGCGGGGTAATTTTGAGGACACGCGCGTGCTTCAGGAGGCGTTCGACGGAGCAAGATTCGGCGACAGCTTCGGAGATTACTGGGCAGCGACCAGGGGATACGCGGCGCCCATCAAAAGCAACGTTACCACTGGTTAGTTTTTGCTTGCTTTAATTTCTTCTTGTATGCTTTGCTTCATTTCAGTTTCGAGTTGTCTATCCTTCCTTTCAAAGTTTTTTCTAGGTCTTCCTTTCTTTGAGGGTGCATAATTTCCTTATATAGTAAACTATTTATCAACTGCTTCAATTTCTTCTTGTCCGGTGCGATTGGTTTTGCTTCATTTCAGTTTCCATTTGTCTATCGTCTCTTTCCGAGTTTTTCTAAATTTTGCTCTCTTTCTACTTTCTGCTTTTAATCTTTCCAAGTGCACTCCTGCACTGGCTTCACATTTAGTTCTGCTGTTATACCGTCTTTTCCAATTTTATCTCACATTTGCATTTCTTCACTATTCTTTGTTGTTGATTAAACCTTTACTCAGTGCGCGGCGTTCCTTAACTTTGTCGAATGCTGAATCAAGTTCATGCGTGGTAAGTGGTTTTTACTTGAAATCCTTACTAATCACGCCGTTTCTTATACAAACTTTCTCTATTTCTTAAAATGCTAGATATTCTGCCTTTTTTCTCTCTCATGCGACTTCCTATGATTTTTTCAAGTACTTCAGTAAGGTTGTACCTCTAGAATTGTTACAGTTTCTGTTGAATATAGGCAATATTAGACATAATTTACATTTCCATTATAATTCTCGTAGCTCCTCCTTGTCGCCTTTATTCTCACTTTCTTCTATTACACTCTCTTCTTTCGCATTCCAATATTTTTGATAGTTTTCCTGGCACCAGTTCATGACTTCTACTTCTTTTTCGTCCTCTTATGTCCTTTGGTTCCCCTATCACTGTCATTTTCACCTCTTTCCTTTTTGCTATTTTTTCCTCCTTCATTTTTTTATACTTACTTCCAGGTGCTAAATGAAAAACTTGCTCATTGGCTGTTCAAGCCGTTTTCATCGCTAGTGATACATCAGAAGTCCTATTATTATATTGTAGTTGTTTCCAAATTTCCTCATTTCTTTTATCAACTCCTTATTTTCTATACTAACTCGCACATCTCTATGCCGCTAAAAGCTGTTTTTGGTGCAGGTGGTAGAAACATTCAGTCGGCGATAGCGACGGGAGGGTACGGAGAGGCGCTGTCTGTTAAAAAGTCGGCCGAAATGGCGGCTCTATTTGCCGACATTAAACTGAGTCAAACGACCGACATTACCCATCTGTATCCCGAAGGATTCGAGCTCGACGAATCTGTTTCGTCGAGAAATGGCTACGGTACCGAATTTATGCAACCCAAGTACAGGTTGGTATGGCACTGTTATGTCGCAACTTAAACCCCTCCAGAGATAAGCACCTGACCAAAATTTTACTTGACCTATCACGGAAATATTAATTAAAAAAACTATTTTTAGATCACTCTGTAGTTCTCTTTAATTTCTTAAACTTAAACAACTGAATAAACATAATCGCCCATTCTTTCAATTTAGTTTTGAAAATTCAACATTTGTTCACTCAGTGAAATATGATCCTTGCCTTTTAATAAATCAATAAGAATTATTGTTGAAACTAACACTTAACACTTAAAACATATGTATTGTCTACGTACCTAAAATAATAAGTCGAGATCAAAATAATTGATATAATTGATATAAAAGTAACACGTTGGTAGTGATCACTATTTGGCTGTCTCAAAGAAGAAGCGGTTAAAAGCGCACACAAACACATCCAGAAAAACTGTAAGTATAGAATGCAAGTAAGATATAAAATAGGATTTAATGAAAAATTCACCACTACACACTGCCAAAGAAATCGGTGGAATAGAAAACAGAAAAAGGAAAAGCAACATGAAAACATATCTCAGCATTAGAGGAAAACTATGATCGTTATAAGACGCAGAGAAAAGGAGTCAATGGAGATTTAACAAATGTTTTTTTACAGAACTATCAAAACGCTTAGAAAAGATAACATGAAAATGGCTTGCCGCCAATTAAAAAGAACAATAGGTACTAACAATAGACAACGAAATTGTGCAATTATTATTAGAGAAAGAAGCCAATGATGGACAGGGATTACGAGAAGAACCCGCTAAATTAGGTAATAGAGCAATTCAAAAATGGAAAAGCACGAGTATGCGATAAAGTAGCAAGCAATATGATCAAACACGTTGGTAAAAGTGGAGTAGAAATCCTTGTCATATAGGATTACCTATTCACAGTAAAGCTGAAAAGGCAAATATAAAACTAATGAAATATATGATCCAATAGCAATAGGTGCAAAAGAGATAGATTTACAGAATTAACGCCCTGGTGCATAAAATTAAGACAAAAGTAGTGGTGATAGGAAATGAACACAATGAAATATTGAACTGAGGTGGCTTTTACTTGATGAAATTCATTTATCAAAATAAATAAGAACTAAAAGTTCAGATTTTTACGAAATTATATATATTGACATGACTATTGTTTCGACAACACCGGCTCTTTATCAAATCAATCCACATTTGATAAAGACACGGTGTTGTCGAAACAATTGTCATGTGAAAATATATAATTTCGTGAAAATCGGAACTTTTAGTTCTCATTTATTTTGACAATGAAATGTGTATTAACAGCAGAAAAGAAGAAAAAAACACTAAAACTGCACTTTAATGAAGAACAGCTACATAAGTTAAAAAGTAATATTAAAAAGAAAAAGAAAAATAAATGTCGGCAAGACTATATATAGTGGACACTGACTAGTCAACAAAAATTGGCAAAATAAGAAACACGTTAATAAGAAACGACCTTGAGATAAAATCAATACCGAAATACATAGAAACATGACAATAGAGCTAGTGGAGACATCTACAGAGGTTGGAAAACACAAGACAAGTAAAATGGACAGAGGAAGCAAAAAAGCGAAAAAGAAAAAAGCGTAAAAGATCAATATAAACATGGGACGACAGTATTGCGGACATTCTGTAAAAAAGATTATGACAAGAAATAAACATTAAACATTCATACTTAAGATGATATTAAAAGTAGAAATGTGGGATATTGATTGTAATAATAAAAAGGGTTTCTTGAAAAAAAAACACATTTTAATAAACAATTATATTGATTTATTACATGGTGATTTCTTATGCATACTAAAACGTATTAAATTTTTTTAAACTTCTGGATTCCTCCAGCGTCGGTTTTTGTTGACTCGAACTAGCTAACGTTTCGTCAATCATCCTTTGGCTTCTTCAGAGCTTGACTGAAACTGGCTCGTATTTTATTCTGTGCCTGCTTATATATTGTTTGAAGAGGGCGGTGCTAAATTGTGACAGGTGAAAATTGTTAGGTTGCTTATAGATTTCTATAGACTCTCGTATTTTCCGTTGGTAATAGAATTGATTATATGCAAGAATTTTAGTTTTATCGAATAAAATTTTATGACTGGTGTCGTGATTGTGTATTTCGTGATAGAACGCTTAATATCTTTAAATTGGAAATTATTAGAGATAAAAGCAGAAGTAAGGTGTTTTAATTCTGGTTTCAATGACTTGGGCTGGGGTAGCTTCACGGCTCTGTAAACACGAGAGTTGATAACCGATGATTTTTGAGTCGGATGCTGATGTGACAATGCATTAAGGTATCCGTCTAAGTGCGTAGGTTTTCTGTAAACACAATAACCCAATGTTAGGTCTGATTTTCTATTGATAAGAATATCTAAGAATGGGAGGTTGTTATTAGTTTCTATTTCAATGGTAAAACTTATGTTACGGTGTATAGAGTTTAAATGTTTAAGAAAATTTACTGGGGCTTCCTGATCATGAGGCCAAATAATAAAAGTATCATTGACGTAATGTTTTCATAATTTTGGGTTTGAGTGGAAGGTATCAAGAGCTTTCTTCTCAAAGGCTTCCTTTCGCGATGACTGGTGATAGTGGAGAACCCATAGCTGTTCCCGATGTTTGTTCAAAAATTTTACCATTATAAGAAAAATATGTTCCGATTAAGGTGTGAAGGGTTGGTTCCAGACTCTCGGATTTTAATATATCTGAAGTGATGGTGAGAGGTTCAGGAATAGGAACTTCAGTAAAGAGGGATTCTACGTCGAAACTAATCAGAATACCTTCTGTATCTAATGTAATCCTTTTTATTTGATAAATGAAGTGATAGGAGTTAAGTACGAAACTGTCAGTTTTCTCTGTAAATCGTTTTAATAAGGAAACTAGATATTTTGCTGGAGAATATGTTGGAGAACCAATGGACATCGAAGGGGTAATCCTAGTTTGTTAATCTTTGGGACTCCGTAGAGACGAGGAATTTTAGGGTCATGAGAGGTAACAGATTTTTTGACGGAGTCTGATAGAGAAGAAGCCTTAATGATAGATTTAAGGATGCGTTCCATAGATGACGTAGGACCTTTTTTAAGTTGACGTTATGATTCGTTTGTAAGAATATCTTGAATCTTTTCCTGATATTCATTTCGGTTCATCACCGCCGTAGCATTTCCTTAGAATTACGATGTCTCGATTTCATTTTAGAGATTTAAGGAAATGCGTTCAGGCTTTGTAGTATTAGATTTAGGGGGTTTTGATTTTTAAGGGTTTTTGTGGGTTCAAATCGAATTTCATTAGCTCTTTGAGATGGTAGTTTGTTTAGGATAGACTCGAAATTTGAAATGATTTCCTCTTTTGAGATAATACGTGGGGCATGCATATGGGGCAAAGAATATATTGGCAAGACCGGACGAAAAATATCAACTAGGCTCAAAGAACATGCAGAGCCTTAAGACTAAGACAAATAAACTCATCGGCAGTTGCCGAACACAACCACGAAACCGGTCATAAAAATTTTATGCGATAAAACTAAAATTCTTTGACCAGCGGAAAATCCGACAGTATATAGAAGTCTATATGCAACCAAACAATCTTACCCGCGATGAGAATCAGTTATCCGAAATGATGTTTATGCCCCTCATTTAGCTCCTCCTCCCTCAAATAATATATAAGCAGGTACAGAGTAAAATGCGAGTTTCAGTCAAGCTCTGAAGAAGCCAACAGGATGATTGGTTTTATAAAAAGTAATAGTAGTAGTAATACTTGTGGAAGTTTCTTTCAAGAACTAAAACGTAATATTTTCCTAGGTGTTCATTTTCGCTACATTTTCAGTAAACCATTTAAGGCCGCACCCCCAAACCAAGACGCCAAATCCATCACGCATTATAAACCTTTGCAAGGAATTCGTCCGATGGGCGCCAAAAACAAGAGTCATCTCTATTCGACGAGAAACGGACTCTACACGATCCAGAGTCAGTCGGACGACAGCCGTAGATCCAGCGTGAGCGAGGGAAAGAAGCTGGCCATCGAAAACGGAAACCTAGAAAATGACAGCAGCAACAAGGAACATTTCCAGGACGACAGTTACTCCAACGTTTGCAAGAAAGTCAGCAGTAACATCGAGAACTCGTTAGGCTACTTGCCATGATGCAGAAGATAAAGTCTTTCATTCAGTTATTCATTTTTGCTTGACTCTCGAGACGGGTAACCCAAGAATTTCTGCGTATTAAAAAGAAAACCCCAATCCGCGCGATTTTCCAAAGTTTTGCTGGTATTTTTAAACCTCTTTTTTCTTTTTACAGAAACTTCACATCAACTTCACCGAGTTTTTTTTTGCTTAACTTAAACAGTTTAAAGTTGAACTCTGAAGAAGTCCACAAATGATTGGCGAAATGTCAGTCAGCAGTCTTTTCCACAGTGTTGTGAAAACCCACCACAGCTCAGTCTTGAAGAATTTTCTTTAACATTAAACGACGTTTGTCACACATGGACTGACCAAAACTAACCATGCTGTATTTCATGCTAAAAAGTAATTAAACGAAAACGTCTTCAAGGCGGAGCTGGTTTTCTCAATTGCGCACAACTTTATGCACAAATGTTGCCAAAAAAGTTCTTTAAAGCCTTTTAGAAAAAAATAGAAGATACAAAAATTTAAGAAGTCTCTCAATCACCTCTTCAATTTATGGTGCTATAATGCGATTGATCATTTGTCGTTATCTTTCTGCACAGCGGAATACGAAGTCTTTTGCGTCTTAGAACCTCCCTAAATACCCGAAACTCATCTCATAAGTCCGCAGCTATCTATGTAGAGACTTTCACACTATTGTCTCCAGACTTTAGGTACTTCATTAAGATCAGCCTGTAGTTTGCAATTCTAATCTCCTATTGAAGATGATATTGGTTTCAAAATACGTAGGTTTTGCAGCGCAGTTTTCAGATGTTGAGTTTCCTTTCCCTTAAGTTTTAAAGTGTGATTGATTCTTTAATATATTTAGGAGTTGGCAATGCTCAATAGGCTCAGCATCGCCATCTTGTAGTAATCAGAATGTACTCTAGCCGCCAGTAGTGTTCAAAAAGTGGCAAAGTAAGAGGAACTTTGTTTTTTATGCTGGTGGGGTATTTAGCTGAATTAACTCAAATCTGAAAAAACTAACACTGCTAGTTCAGAAAAGTGAGTGTCATAGGCATAAGGATGATGAACGCAAAACTTAACGAAGATGGATGAAAAAGTCGCGGTGGATGATACCATCCATAATTTTGGTTTACCCATTTCGAATCACATTTAAGTTCATTACTCCTACGTTTTAAATATTAAGCTGACGCTCAATTTGTTTTATATTCAAAGTCGCGTTGAAGTCCTTCGAATGGACTAAAATTTGTCCTATTTTTTACTTCCTATAGCGTAGATGGTAGTTAATTTGCTAGACGTAATGCGATTTAATACTCGAAAATGTGTGTATATTAAACCAAAATGCCATATCTAATTGTAAGTGCAATATTTTTTATGGGGTCAAGTGCAATTAAGTTATATTGGGGCAGGTGGCAATGGGGTGGTGCAATATGGGGTTTTAGTATATTTTACACAGCGTCGGTTCGTGATCGCATGTGCAATACATTTGTTACGTTTACGTTAGACATTAATTATATTTTTGATTTGGTGCCGTTGCGTTTTTTTTTTCAAGCACAGGTAAAAATTATTTCGAAAGGCGTACAACAAATAGTTTATTAATACTGTCGATAACTTTCACAATAGTAAAAATAGCTCTTTCTAACACTCAGCGTGAAACCTACACATATGCAAACAAAGTAAAATTATTACGAGTTCATGATTTTTTTAGGTAGCAATTTAATTTTTCCAGATGTTTAGATTTAGGCCAAAATAAAATAAATATCAAATGTCAAATTGCCAAAAAATCTATATATATAGGTATATATATATATATATATATATATATATATATATATATATATATATATATATATATATATATATATATATATATATATATATATATATATATATATATATATAAAGTAAAAGTAAAGTAAAAGCCACTTGATTTCAATTTTTCAAAAGTATAAAGGTTTTCTCTTATAATGACAATAAGCCAAAAAAAATTTAGTGGCGTGACTGTCTATAGTTAAATCGAGAACTTCTTTTTGTGAAAAACGAAATGTCTATCTAAAACAAAATATCTAGATTATAGTTACCAAATAGTGTCTTTAAAAAAAAAATATCAGAAGACTTTTATTTATTTAAGTTTACGTACTTCGTATTTGCCTTTCGATGTTTCGAAATATTTTAATTAAACAAATAGACAATCATTTAAGTAAGAAATAATAATGATAATAATTCTTTGCATGCCGTCATGTTAACTATTGACCACCAAGCTATTGAAAAAAATCATGAAATAAAATTTCTTTAAAAATGATTGAAGATTGTAAGAATAATTTTTATTTGTATTTTTTTTAGGTATATTTTCAAAAAATTGTGCTATACTAAATAAAAGCACTTGATGAATAGTACATGTGTGCTAAATTTCATTAAAATATCTAAACTGGTAATACAGATATTAAAAAATATATTCCATTTTTAAAAACTTTACCAATCTGTATGTCAAAAATTAAGATGCTTAGGGCATAGGTTCACGTGCATATTTTCGTTTGAGATTAGTTATTAAAAAAGTTACAATTCACTTAGTTTTTTTTTCTAAATTTCGACTTTTTGAATATCGACTGATGCAAATGAGGCATCATCTTCAGTAAGTGATACAGCTGATGATCGGGAACATGTTGAAGTGATAGCAGTAAAAAATCCAAAAACATTCCGAAGAAAAATGAAATAATCACATTCACCGTGGTCCTAATTAACTTTTCTGATTTTTATGTGCTGAAAGTGTGAGAAAAATTTCTTTGCTTTTCTTGAAGTCTTTTGCAAATTGCAAAAACTTTTAAAAATTCATTATTTGCATTTGGTTCAATGTCAAGAAAGTTTAAAGTAATAGATGGTCTTTGTGATTAGAATTTTCCAAGAAACCCGCATTATATTCATGTTGTCCCCCAGTAAGATTTGGCGATCTTGTTTATGACTAAAATGAACTCGAAAATCGTGGTACTTTAGTCAGTTTACTTTTATTTAGAAAAAAATCTAATTTTTATGACTAAAAAATACGAGCAATGGAGATTACGATTAACTCGCTAACAATTTTATTTATCAATGAGTTGTTTTTTGGTCGAAGCACATGTAACAGCAATAAAGACTATTGCGACAAAAATAAGAAAACTGCACTTTCTAGATATTGTCTTCGTTTTCCTAAGCCATATATAATTTTTCAATATTCCGTACCAATACCCAAAACCAAACGATATCAACGCGGACTCTCGTCTTCAACACCGTCAAATAAATACACAAAAAGGCTATAAGAGCGCTAATAAACATATGTTCCTGCAAATAAGAGGTTAATCAAGCCTGTCTTCAGTCAGACTATGCCACTGCTCGTGTCTGTGGTCAGGGTAGCGGATCATGTCAAGCCAATGTTTCAGCCTCTGTCCTGAAAATAAACACATTAGATTATTTGCAGACAATAAGGAAGACAAGGAAGCCCTCAGAATATTATCCCGTTGGGATTATCAGCAGGATATCGACTAATACTAATAATTATTCTAAAATAATGTAAGAAAGAACCAGAAGTGCTTCTAAGATTGGAAAAAATAACTTTTGAAGAGGACAGCATTAATTATAATATATAAATAAATACTTTTCGATAAAACTCAAAAGTCACCTGACTTTATATCCTAAGGATATTCTGAGGCATGAGTTTGAACTTTTTGTATTCGGGTTGGACTCTCATGATCCAAGCAAAACCCGCAGACAAAATCACAATAATAAAAGTTAGACAAGACAAGTAACTCACATAAGTTTTGTCTCAAACTTTTGCCTAGTATATATTTATTATTAGAAAGCATCTTCAGTGAGCAGTACAACTCCCAGGTTCTAGTGTCATTAACTTTAATATTAAATCAGGGCGCATGATTTTTTATAACTGGTAAATCGCATAGTCTTCGCCATCAAAACAACAATAGCGCTGAGCGTCATCGGCAAATGCTTGCACCCTACTGCACATAACGCAGATCAAAATGTCAGCAGTATAAACTAAAAAGAGCAATGGCCCTAAAATGGAGCAATGTATTATTAGAGAATATTCTTTGAAACCTCTTTGATAGATATGATTCTAATTAAGCTACACGATGCTGATGAGAAACTATGAACCTCGGTATCTGCTGAAGATACAGCATGGTCTAAATTTGGAAAAAGTTGCGTATTTGTAGGGAACGGGACTTTGACAATAACGATTGCATTGTTTTCTGACTTCTTCAACTTTCAACTTCATTTTTTATACTTTTAGTTAAAAGTAAAATTGCGTCTTCTCCATTATTTAAAGGTACTTTGACGTAGGTGCTGCAAGCAAATGACGTAAACAACCGTCACCGACTGTGTCACAGATTATTTAGAAGATTTTTAAATGGTTTTGCAATAGAATGGGGGAGTACCTTTCGATCCGGAGCCGCCCAAAATCAGTCCGCCTAAATAATCGTTGCTTTTGCCGTAATCTTTATCAAATACGGTTATGTACAGACTCTGCATGTAGAGTTCTGTAGGTCTGGTTTCGAAGACGAACTCTTCGTTGAACACCGGGTTGAGGTTCTTCCATTTGATTGAGGTTTTGTGTTTTCTGTTGTAGGGATCCGGTTTCAGCTGCCTTCAAATAAAAACGTGCAGGATTAGTTCTCGAACTCCTTAATTCACACTTATACAAACATGTGTCCTTAAATTTTCAAGATTACCCAGATTAGAAAATATGTTTAGTTTTCGAAATTATTTTCTTTGCGTCGGGTTAAAACCGAAAGAAAAAATATTTGCTTGGGTATAAAACAATATAGGACACCCAATTTAAATACAAACCTGTCAGTTTTAACTACCAATTAATTGAAGTCCACGCCATTGGTAAACTAAACATTACCACAGTCCCACATACTTTTCTCAAAAACAAAGAAAACCACGCAAAATAGGTATAAAGGGCAATATCCTACCTTCTTCTATTACGCCCCGGTGTCGACAGAGAGAGCACAAATTACCGTATAATCACAGTAATTTCCATTACAAAACAGGGTCGCATGTTTGATTTTTTTTTAACATTGGTGTGTTTTGTTGTATAAGACAAGAATACTGGGAAAAATAGCCCAGTATTAGTTCCAGTTTTGGCTCTGACGATTAACATAGTCTCCGATGAATGATTTTGATATTGGCAAAAGGAAAATGAAAGCTTGTCTTGCTAGTATATTGAAAATAACTGTTTGATTAAATAATTTGATCGAGCCTACTACTACACGTTTCACTATTTTTGACAAGGCATATCTTAAATCAATCCCAGAGGCAAAAAATATTAAAATATTAAATTCCTTATAATGATTATTAACTCCTTAGCTAATTTTTCAAAGAAACTTTCACAGGCTACTGTAATACTTTTTACAAATCTTCTGGATTAATAATGCGTGGGCTTTTGCTGAGTCGAACTTGCTGACTTTTCGCCAATCACTATGTTGGCTTCTTGGATTCAGTCAAGCTCTGAAGAAGCCAACATTGGCGAAACGTCAGCAAATTCGACTCAGCAAAAACCGACGCAGGAGGGATCCAGAAGAGCATTAGAAGAGTTCAGACTAATTCTCCCCAGTCACTCTATTTATTGAAATCGGTATCTAATTAAAAACAGAAAAAGACTGCTACTCGAACGAGCAACAGGTTGCACTGTTCCTGTTACTCTCTTTTATTTCTATTTTGTTCTTTCCTTTACAGGTGTGCGATTTTTTCTCCCTCTTGTTTTAGTGTTGCTTCCCCAACAGCGTCAGCCATTTCAGATATTCTTTGCGTTTCAGTTTAGACCGAAAAATTTAAACTATGTTTTTTTTATTATTAAGATTTACATGACACTTACTTCATTGTTAGACCTTTTCCATAACTTCTTTTCGTTGTTTTTAATTAAATATGCCACAGCAAGTGACACTGATGTTATAATTAACTATCATTATAATTAATTAATAATAATATAACTATTAATATAATTAATAAAACTTGATGAATAAAATACCTCCGAAACAGTTACTTATTAATGTCGCTCCATTTCATTTAGTTATTTATTTATTTTTTTTTGGTGATATTAAGTCCTTCCTACGCAGCGATCTCGGAACGACATTTCGTGTATTCTCAAGTAATCTGTGAAGCTTCAATCTAATAACGATAATTTAGGGAGGGAGAGGATGGTTAAAAGCGAATCGGAAAGTATTTTTAGCCTGGTTCGTTCGCGAAATGCTCGCTTCAAGTTTGTATCCGATGTCCAAAGGACTGGAAGACTCGACAGAAGAAATAAACACAAATTTGAATATACAAACCAAATGATAATTTTTAATTTTAAAAAATATCTACGTAATTTGAATACTTCACATCACGTGCACGTGGACTTTAAAGTTCGTATAAAAATCACTATCGAAATTGAACAGAATAACAAAATATCCAAAATCTCAAACATCAGGTGACTACAGGTTGAAATGCGGATCTTGTCCTAAAATTTATATTGGACAAATAGGCAGATCCTTCAAGAAACGCATTAACGAACATAAAAGAGCGTTCAAAAACAATAGTCTAGATTATAACACACTAAAACCCAGAAAAACACATTTTTGACGACAATTTTGATATTTTACATGCAGCCACAGAGTTTGAGCATTTACTTTCTATTAGTGTTCTGCCAACAAAGCGGTTTCCGATATTTCGATATATACAGTATTTGTGCCCCAAAGATCTGGTTATAGTTGTAAAAGTGCCCTTGCAGATGTAATAGATGACACTTTTGAAGCTTATGATTTAAACAAAATTACTGCCCTGGTTTTACTTGATTCTAGCACAACCTTTGACATGATACTTAACGAAACACCCTTCAGACTCTTAGATGTTAAAAAGGAACTACCCCATAGTGGTATTTTTGGTTCACTTTTGCGATTTTTTCAAAATTTGGCGAAACAAGATACAATAGTTCTCGTCTCAAAAGGTAGGAATAGAAGAAGTATTATCTTCAATTTTGTAATGCTTAAATAATGGCTTTCTTCTACCATTTCAAAAATACACACCAACACCAATTTACTCACAATTTCACAAAGGGATCGGAGAACCCGTTATTGTCCATAGGCAGGAGGTTAGCGCAACGTAGAACTGTGACCAGGAGGGCTCTCTTTTTTGTCGAGTAGCACAGCGACAGCAAAATTTGTCCCCTGGACCACAAGTCGAAATCGAACCACTGATTCAATTCGGGTGCCGGCAGAGGACCCTTTTGCTCTGGCCTTAAGTTCTCCAACGGGACTGTCAGCTGCAATAGAGAGACACGTAAGTTAGCCATGAAATATATAACAAAAACCAAAAATATGGATGAACTACACTTCACAGTTGTTTGAAAATAGAGACGACAAACCCATTTTGAAATTATTGAAGTGCAACTGGGTTCAGACGTAGTTAAAGATGGAGATATATATGATCTGTACTTGTCAAGGAACTGCAAACTGCCGTCGGATGTTCTTAAACTAATAGGAAAGGATCGATAACAGATACCCAGTAAAATATCGAGGAAACTGGTAGTAGATTTCAGCAGACGAGATCTAAGCTTTGTACTGTTGAGATTAGAGGTCTGTGGACGTGGATATGTAGGAGAATATAGATAGCAACCAGCGTGGAAGTGATGGGCAAGTGGAAGTGATAGGAAGTGATAGGAAAAACTGTTGTACATGTGACATGCCATGAGGAGTCGAATGCTTCAAACCAGTATCCAGGGAAAAATCAAAGGAGAAAACTCTGGACTGCAAAATTTACCCTGGTTGAATTTTTAGTAAACGTTCAGCTGGCTCTGCAAGTTCTTAAAAAGCTAATTATCAATATATTATGCTTCACTCTGTATCGAAGAGAGGATTTATTAAATCAGAATTGTTTGATATTAATAGGCAACGCAATTAAAAGACAGTGAAAAGGAGTGGTTTTCTATTTTTGTTGAAAAGGAGAAATATAAAAGGGTTATGTCCCAACAAGACCAACCACACTACTTACATATATCGTATTTTGAACCTTTAATTTCGCCAACTTGATCCTGACTTCCCCCATATAGTCGTGTCCGTATCTATCATCGTCAACAACTAACACGTGAAGGGATTTGGTGGCCAAATCATTTTCAGTAATATCATAGAAGGTCAGATTTTCGTTGAACTCTGGGTTTCTGGTCTTGTGCACCGTCTTGGTTCTCAGTCTCGTGGACACTTTCGCGTTGGGCAATATATTCAGTTTGCAAAATGGATCGGACAAGCCGGCAATATCCATGGGCATCAGGTTCTTCGCCCTGTAGACGGTACAGTGTAGGGTGCTGGACATTTGGTCGTAGTTCAGCGAGAGTTCTATGATGCCCATAGATGTGTCTACGGGAGGCTTGTGGTCAGCGGCGTCGGTAGAACTCTGAGGAGGAAGTGACATGAGTGGTAATTGCTGATAATTGTTGGAGATGTAGTAACTAACTACTACATAATTACGACTGATGTGCCACATTTGGTGCCACAAAAATACCAAGAATAGGTAAGCAGTTGTTGTGAACTTTGAGATATCAATTCTTATCCAACGACTCAGCGTGTGACTTGACAATCATGACCGCACAATCACACCAAAAGCTTTTTGAGGATCTGTAAACACTGCCATTACTTTGCTTTGAGTATCACGGTCACAAGTTATTTTAAGTTAACTTACTTTCATACTACTGGTACTGGGAGACATCTTCTCTTCTGTACTCCTGGAGTCGCTCCAATTCCATTCGGACATCGATCTCGAGACCATCGACTCTCGCCTAGACGCCCCGAGACTATCTGGAATATCCACAGAAGAAATATTTTTGTCTAAAAATAAGCATCGCTTCTTGGTGTTACCTGCTTCACCTTTAACGTCATTCCCTGAGTCCTCCCCCGTTTTGGAATCGGTCAGAGTAGTGGATCCTACGTAGCTTCTCAATGGTTCGAGCTCCTTTGAGATGTGGGAGTCGCTCGAACTCGTCTGTCTACTAAATTTCAGATTTCAAGTTATACAGGGTGTTTCACAATTAGTAAGCTAAACTGGAACAGTATGGTATGGAAAACGTTATTAGACGGTCAAGTAAAAACCCAAAAACCCAGCAACAAACCTAAAATATGACATAAATGAATGAAAACCGTAAAAGAAGTTGACTTTTGGTAGGCATCTCCACTCTATGGGTTGTGATTGAAATAAAAGTTCGTTCGTCTAAAATAAACCCTAGTTGCGATTGAGTAGCCTGCCACCAGACCGCATCTCAATACCTTCATCTTAACCTAAAATATGAATAAAAGAATTGAAAGCTCAAAAGAAGTTGGCTGTAAGTGATATAAAAGTTTAGTTCCTTATTTTTTTATAATATCATAAAAATTGTTACTACGTTGCTATATCCCTATGTTTTCAAATATTAAATAATCTCACTTTTTTTAAATAAAAAATTAGCTCGAATCTAGTCCAGTCTAGTTTACCCACTCATCAATATTTTAAGCAGTATATTTGGACTTGGTTATGAGTAAAAAATCAAAATACTGAATTCTATAAAACACCTCCTTATCATATTGAATTTCATCAATCTCTTTTAGAAACTGATAAGAGATTAGACTACTGTAATTGGCTAAATCTATTATATATTTATAATACTTTCTTTCAATCAATTTTGTTGTGTTAATGTTGGGCTAGACTAGACTAATTAAAATGCGGTTTTCACTTTCACTTCACTTCAACGAGTTTCAAAGCTCAAAATTACGCCCTGTGGTGGCCATTTCAGTACATCGAAATTAGTTTTTTCCCCTAACTCTCTTAGTTAATCTATCAACCATATTAACTGCTGCCTAATGTGCTCGGTTAATGACAAAATAAGCTTTAGCGGCTCCAAAAATTACCTGAAATTGTTAGACATTACAAAACTGCCACTCTCATGATCGAGAATATCTGAAACATAAACGCAAACATGTATTGTTATAACATACATTGAAAAAATTCCAAAAAAATCGCTAGTCTTTGAGGCCTTGAGAGAATCGATATTTTTCAAATTAAAGTAATCTGAATATATTCTTTAATTTCGAACACTTTGTAGCATCTACTTCAAATTCCCTTGTATATATCTTTTACATCACCCTCGAATAACGGTGATACGTGAGATCTTCTTTTAATTTTTATTATAACAGAATGTGGGAGTTTCTTTGAAAAATGTAGAAACACGTTTAATAGCGTTGCACGCGAATAAACCAATATTTGCCTTTTTGACGTTGAAAAAATCGAGCCAGCCTGTTTATGAAGTTTCATTTTCAGTGCACGAAAATACGCCCGAGCCGCCAGACTGGGAGGCAAACAAAATTTCTGCCCGTATAAAAAGATGCAAAACAAAAGATGAAACGATGAGAAAAACATCACAGGATCTAAATATCGATTGAGGCAAATGAGGAACCGAATGAGAACGAATTGCACATGGAATGTTTTTCCCGCTCTGTCGCCTTTATAATGACCCGTTTACATCAGGTGATGGATGGGTCGCCTAATGACAGGATACGAGAAAATGGATTACAGCAGTTAACTCGATTTTAAATTGCCATCCAGAGAATTTGAATATTTGAAAGGCACGTTGTTTGGGCCCCCAATTACGGTACTAGGTAGTTTAATTAGTCAATTTTTTAGGGGAATATCTGAGAGGCAGGTCAGAATTTCTGAGAAATAAGACGTCATTTCCGAGAAACAAGTCAGCATTCATGACTTAGGTCAGACTTTCTGAGAAGCAATTTAGAATTTCTGGAGTAAGTAAAAATTTCTAAGAAACAAGAAATAAGTTCTAAGAAGAAAGTCAGAATTTTTGAGAAGCAGATCAGAACTCCGGATGTAAGTCAGAATTTCTGATAAACAACTCAGATTGCCCAGCTTAAATCAGAATTCCTTAGAAGCAGATCAGAATTTGTGACGAAAGTAATAATTTCTGAAAAAAAAAGTCAGAATTTTTGACTTAGGTCAGAATTTCTGAGAAACAAGTCATAGTTTTTTAGAAAAAAAGTCAGAATTCCTGAATATCTGAGAATCAGGTTTGAATTCCTGGCTTGAATAAGAATTTCTGAGAAACAATTTACAATTCCTGAAGTACGCCTAAGTGATTCAAGTAAAAATTTCTCAGCAACAAGTTAACTGAGCTAAATCCGAATTTCTGAGCAGTAGGTCAGAATTCCTGAAGTAAGTAAGAATTTCTGGGAATAAAATTAGATATTTGGAGAAACAACTCAGAATTTCTGACATTACTCTTTGTCCCAGGAGGGTTTGCGAATGGAAAGACCGGATGTACATTGTAATTCATAAATAATGGACAATTTCTTCGCTAGGTACTAGACACCAAAATATTATTAACATTTGATTTGAATTTTTTCCCATTTTTTAATTTATTTTGTAAATTGGTGATTCATTAATAAAGACATTATCATTTATTTATTTATTTATTATTAGTTTTCTATTGTTCTAATAATGTTTTCATTTTTTAAGTATATTTTAGCATTTACAAAAAATCAAAAAAAGATCTTTTAACTTTATTTTAAACGCAAATTTGTCGTAAAGTAGCTTCCCCTAGAAACGCCCATATTTTCCTGTTAATGGCTCTTCGGCGCTTTCGTAGTTTCTCGAAAAAAGCACTAGACCAAATAAATTATTCAGCTGCAGATTCTCAACTGAGAAGAAAATTAAGAAGATTTGAAAAAAAAAATCTTTTCAATTTTTTTTTTTTTGAGGTATGGATATTTATTTAAGTACAATATATATACAGCGTAAGTCAACGACAGAGTAAAGTTTATTATCTCGTTGATTTCAAGAGTTCCGAGAAAATGGTAAATACAAAAATTTACGAGATTGTTAGGATGCACATTTTAAAATTATTTTCAAGTATACGGGGTGCAGCAAAAAAGCGTGACATGCTTTTTTTTTAATTAAACACGCTATTTTTAAATTTCGTTTTGAATTCGCTTTGTAATTCTTCAACTTTTTGATTACTAACAATACATATCTACTGTAGCACCATTATTTTGAAGGCAGATCAGGTAGAGGTAAGCGTTATTTTGACGTAAAAGATATATGCATCGGAGTTGGCATTGGATACTACAGGGTGTTCAAAATTTACGAATACATTTGGGCCGTTATAAATTGAAAAATCTAGATTTTCTTAAACGGCACGCCATATATATTATTAATTTATATATATTTGGTATTTATCTGAATCAAGTAAGGTATAATAAAAACCAACCGTGGGTACTTTCTGTCCCGGAATTTCTTCTCTGCCTGGTCCAATCGATGTTCCTCTCGTCGTCCGAACTGCTGTCATCGTCTTTGTGCTTCCTGGACATGCGCGTACTCTTGTTCCTCTTGAACCTGCCTTCGTTGGGAAGGATGTATTTGGGAAGACTCTTGAAAAACCATGCTCCGGATTTTTTCCAGATCTCTTTGGTTTCCGCGCAAATGATGCACAGATAATGGTTTTTGGACGGGCTGTAACAATGGGGTTGAATAATAATCTCGGTTTTAAAACAATAATTTTGGTTTTTTGGTAATGGAAATTGATATGCTTTGACAAAATAAAAGTTAATAAAGATGCAATAAAGGTTACGCAACTTTTTTCATATAAAGCCCACTTTCTTCTAGATATCCGTAAATACAGGGTGTTCGGAAATTGATTTCGCGGAAATTTCCAGACAACAGTAAAATCTATTTATCCGAAACCAAATACAGAACACGAACAATTTAAAACAATTACATACAAGGAGTACTCAGTGAAAAGGTTTCAAAGCATCTGTCAAAATGTGGTTTAAAAATAGCTTTTAGAACTAACAACACACTAGGAAAATTTTTAAAAATAAAATTTGAAAAACAAAGCTCTAACTGGGAAAATATCCGGATTTCGAATTTTTGTTACATGACGTACTACCATTACTTTACCGCGTTGAGTCTTTTTCCCAAGTTTCCGAACTCAATTTCCAAACACCTTGTATAACTCGCCCTACCTTATATGCCTACCACTGGAAGCATCTATGACACATTTCTGACAGGCCCATTTCCTGCAATCCATGCACCGAACTTTTTGGGGTCCCAATATGCGGAAGCTGTCGCCACACAACAAACACTGATTTGGGCTCCTACCTAAGGCGTTCCTTCGAAGAGTCTCTAAACGTTCCACCAAACGACCGACCTATTTCAGATGGAGACCTTTCGACCTGAATAAATCTCGCGGTTTCCTCTCACCCTTTCTTGTTCTGTAATGTCCAGCTTTTCCGCCCTTCGTATCACTTGAACGATGGCGTCCTGTTCGTCTTCCCCAAGAGGTGGACCGGTGGAGGAATGTCCAAAACTGCCCGTTTTTACACTCCATCCCGTTTTCAATCTGCAAAAAAATTACTCGAAGGACGTCTACAAATTTCAAATCAGTTTTAAACAAAATTCACCAAATATGTACCAGAAACTACGAATACTTTATTTAAAAAAGGGAAGAATTACATGATCGACACAGTATATTGCCAATTCTGGAATGCATCCTGTAATGTCTGAAACTAAATTGAGAATGCCTGAAACAGGGTTTTTATTTTTTCTAAAACCCAACTGATTATTATTAAAAATGGCATTAATTTCAAAATATCAATTTTTGAAACAATTTGAAGTAGAGATATAGGTCAACAACCTCTGGGTTACCTTTTTTAAATACTGGTATTACCAGAGCTCTTTTTAAAATATCTGTAAAGGTGTTAGCTTGAATACTTAAATTAATAAGTTATTTTTATTTTTGAGATTGTTTATGATTTTCCTAACTTCATGTGCTTAAATACCAAAGGTTTCTTCAATATAATTCCCATCCAATAACTGTGATGGCGGGTAATAAATAATAACTGTGATATTTTGATCCTAGTTCAAACGCTGTTGGTTAAACATGAAATTGAAGCTTGTCGTGCCTCATATTAATTCACGGTAAAACAAAGAACAGCAGCTGCAATTTATATGTTTAACTTGTGCAGAATATTATTTAACCATATATATAAACCACGTTCTTTTCTGCCCATTCGAGCTCCGATAATAGTTGACGTAATTTAGGGGCGACACAGCAGCGGGAGATGCAAAACAACAATTATATCACATTCCGGCGCCAGCGGCGACGCTTGTAAGGGCGCCGCGACGCCTCGTCGTGACGTCCGAGACCTACTTCGTTTGACACAATAGAGGAGGAATTTTTTAATATATAGTCACGCATGAAGGGATTTATTTGGTCTTCTAAACGGAACAACGAGCTGAGTTGTATTAAATAAAAATTATGAACATTAACGTTATTTTAAATAGACCCAGAACTAGTTCTGGATCTATTAAGTAGAGGTAAGCGTCAAAATAACGCTTACCTCTACCTGATCTGTTGTATTGTTAGTAATAAAAAAGGTGAAGAATTTCAAAGCGTATTCAAAACGAAATTTAAAAATAGCGTGCTTAATTTAAATAAAAAAAGCATGTCACGCTTTTTTGCTGCACCCCGTATACCTTTAAATAATTTTAAAATATGCATCCTAACAATCTCGTAAATTTTTGTATTTACCATTTTCTCGGAACTCTTGAAATCAACGAGATAATAAACTTTACTCTGTCGTTCACTTACCCTGTAAACATATTGTATTTAAATAAATAGCCATACCTCAAAAAAAATTGAAAAGATTTTTTTTTTCAAATCTTATTAATTTTCTTCTCAGTTGAGAATCTGCCGCTGAATAATTTATTTGGTCTAGTGCTTTTTTCGAGAAACTACGAAAGCGCCGAAGAGCCATTAACAGGAAAATATGGGCGTTTCTAGGGGAAGCTACTTTACGACATATTTGCGTTTAAAATAAAGTACAAGGATTTTTTTCTGATTTTTTGTAAATACTAAAATATACTTAAAAAATGAAAACATTCTTAGAACAATAGAAAACTAATAATAAATAAATAAATAATAAATAAGGTCTTTATTAATGAATCACCAATTTACAAAGTAAATAAAAAAATGGGAAAAAATTCAAATTAAATATTAATAATATTTTGGTGTCTAGTGCCTAGTGAAGAAATTGTCCATTATTTATGAATTACAATGTACATCCGGTCTTTCCATTCGCAAACCCTCCTGGGACAAAGAGTAATGTCAGAAATTCTGAGTTGTTTCTCCAAATGTCTAATTTATTTCCAAGAAATTCTTACTTACGTCAGGAATTCTGGCCTACTGCTCAGAAATTCGGATTTAGCTCAGTTAACTTGCGGCTTAGAAATTTTGACTTGAATCACCTAGGCGTACGTCAGGAATTGTAAATTGTTTCTCAGAAATTCTTATTCAAGCCAGGAATTCAAACCTGATTCTCAGATATTCAGGAATTCTGACTTTTTTTCTAAAAAACTATGACTTGTTTCTCAGAAATTCTAACCTAAGTCAGAAATTATTACTTTCGTCACAAATTCTGATCTGCTTCTAAGTAATTCTGATTTAACCTGAGAAATCTGAGTTATTTGTCAGAAATTCTAACTTACGTCCGGAATTCTGATCTGCTTATCAAACACTCGGAGACTTTTTTTTGAGGAATTATTACTTTCGTCTGATTCAATCTGGGAAATATGAGTTGTTGATCAGAAATTCTGACTTATTTACGGAATTCTGATATGCTTATTAACATCAACGTTATTTTAAATAGATCCAGAACTAGTTCTTTATAATTTAAACAATTGCTTCAGAGATCCTAAATTTTTTTGCCTATAGATGTGTATGTAATTTACATACAAATCCAAATCTCTTTGGAAATTAGCGAAATTGCCTCTATAAACTTCTAAAATATTTCGAAGCTCATGTTATTTTCAATTTCTGCAAACTCAACAGTACCTAAAATTGTTTTTTGCAATCTACCTTAAATTAATTTATTTAAAAGCACTAAATCTGTTGAAAAAATGGAATCTCCAATTTCGTGAGTGCCCTAGATGCAAAAGAATCATTTGTTTTTATAAATATTCAAATTTCTTTTACTTAATTTGCTTGAAAATGACATCAACACTGTCTCTACGTATCTTAAATTGGGGTCTTTTAAGTAGTATATCGGCTCCAGGGTCTTTGCTTGGCAATAAAACGTATTAAATTCTCAAATATCGGACCTGTTTGTACAAAACTCACAAAAACTGCATTTTGCCTGTTCCTTGTGATTACTACTAACAATGGCAATAAAAATTAAAATAAATTTTCTCATGCGAATCCGAGCACTTCAAAACAAAAGTGACTTAGAACCGACACTACTATTCTACTTAAAAAATTAAAAAAAAAAAATTCTATTCATGATCACGATCAAAACAGCAATTGGAGTTTTTCCTTTATTAGTAAATAATCCGCATATTTCACCTCCTATCACATGACCTAACCATTGTGGTGTTCGATAATCCTTTTTGTTTCGCATGCGTTGCACCAATGACATCCGATTCGATTTAAGTTTTAGGAGTGAGTTTTCTTGATTCAGTTTGCAAGTATATCGGAGTATTTTGTACGTGATATCGTATTGGGGTATGAACGGTGTCCCGTTCACATGCAAATGTATTAAATAAATCAATAGATTAAACTGGTAATCATGCAAAACGCCATATTTAATTTCCTTGTTATCGGCGATGACTGTTCCGGCACGACTATAATAACTGTATGCAAACAGATAACCAAACCATTTTTTTCTCGTTTCTTGTGCTCCTTAATTTTGTAATATCTTGTTAATTTTTCAAAGAAACTATTTACACAAAATATTGGTATTGCAAATAACCACGAACTGAACCTACATATATAGGATTTACTAGGATCGAGTAGAAGCATTTCTTCAGTGACAGAATAGTGGAATCCATTTAAATCAGAATTAATAATGTTGCTTGTTTTAAGGCATTCTCAGAAAAAGAGTGTCATAGGCATAAAGATTATTAGTAATGATGTAATAATCGCAAACAGAGATTGATTTGTTTATTATTACTTTTTGTGCTTTGTTATTTAAAAAAAAAATTACAAGAGACTTCACTGAATTCTGTGTGATAAAGAAAAGCATTGCTAGAATCGAGAAAAACCATTATTTTCTCCACAATGTTAGAGAGTGTAAGCAGACTACTAAAAATTTGATTTTTAAAAACAAGTAGTGAACAACAACTTAACAGTAGCACCTGGGAACTCGATATCGTGAAACAAAACAGAAATTTTAGTTTACACTGTTATTATCTTCTATTTTCAACGCTTAGCAAGGTCCTGCAAAGTCTGCCCGCTGTTTGTGCTATTTCAAAGGCAAAAGTAAATACTCTATAGCCCATTTTGTGTTACTAAATTTAAGTTTTTGCGATTTTAGCAAAAAGGTGTTGCTTAAATTGTTAGGTAATAAACGAATTGCTAACTGTGCTATATTGTTACTTACTTCGCTCGAAGGGCGAGCTGTCGATCATTTGGACAAACGAACCTACTCGAACTCTCACCTGAGCCAAAATCGACCATCATTTGTTAACCCTGAAATAAAGGAGAGTTCATTTTAATTTTTAAATTTTAAAATAATTGTCATGTCAATGAAACAGCAAGTCTTGTCTTAAATATGAAAAACGGCTTTTAATAAGGACGTTAATTCAGAAAATAGGTTAGTTCGGTTCGTTTTCAATTCTACCTTCCAGACCACTTCCGGTTTCATTAGATGCCATATCAATTGTTTCTCAGATACGTTGATTTTTTTTTTTTTTTTTGGTGACATACACTTTTAGGCAGGACAATAATTCTTTTGAAATTTTCTATTTGATTTATCGTATGCATTTTCAGACGAGACAAATTGTATATATTTTCTGCTATAACTTTCCAAAATTTAACTGTCCTGCTTTAGTTTATTACAGGAGCGCTTATCACCAATCAAGAATGGATAAAATGCTCACTTTTAAAAACAGCAATGAATACCAGAAATCCAAAAGTAAAATAATATACTGGGTGTTTCATTTAGAATAATAAATAGTAAAACTATGAAATATTTTTAAACGAAAGGATATCTGGAATAACCCTATATCCCAGAATTTGAAACTTTCAATTTTTTTCTAACCCCAAATTGAATTGACGTTATCAGTTATATTTTCTAGTCACTCTAACCAATGAATTGACTGGTGTTTAATTAAGTAATTATTTGTTTTGTTTGGACGTAATTTATTCTCATTTTGCCGCTTGAAATTTTTGAAATCAAAAGCGGGCGGAAACTCAATTAAGCTCCCATCGAAACCTTGGCTTATATCCGTAACTGAAAGTGACAACTTGTTAAATAACAAAGCGTAATTTAGTTTCGAAATTTTTGTTGCCAATTTGAAATTGCCTGGACTATAAAGTTAGCCGGTTGCAGAATTTTTTTCTACAAAGCTACACGTTTTGAGGCTTAGGTTACATAAAAAGTCGGTTTATAGTACAATTTGTTTAATAATTAAAATTAAATCATAATAACATATCTTCATTTCATTATTTCTAACGGATGTTTCCGGACTTTCAGTTACAGCCAGCAATACATTTTTTATTTTTTCTTCATTTCAGGCTTTATTTCTTGATAAAACTTAGAATTTGTAGTTAATATTTAAAAAAATGATTTTACATTGGTTGGTGGCATTGGACAAATTGTCACGCATGGGATTTGATTTTTTCAGCGATTTTTTTTTCGGTAGATAGCCTTTGCATACCTTAATAGAAGCTGCCAATAAATTTGAAATAGTAATTAATTAATATATATGTCAATGCCTTCAATAATGATAATAATAATAACATTTTTATTTTCTATACAGATAAATAAACAAGTTTTACAACTACAGATGAAATTTATAGAGACACTAAAAAAGTATACAATCATGTAATGAATAGATTATATAAAAAAACTGTTTACAGTGAATCAATTAAAGAGGGATTTTATATCTGGCATTTAGTTTTGGTGTCTGCTGTTAAAAGCATGAACATCTTTATGTTTACTAAGGTGGTCTTTATTTTTGAATGAATATATACCATTCCTGAACATGTTTTATAGTTAAGATTCTCATCGATCGGAATAAATGAGCTACTGGACAATCATCTGTCTGCAAAATGAGACTAGAAAATATTTTCTGATAATGCCAGAATTTTCTTATCGGGATTTAAACACAAACCAACTTTTCTTTGCATTTATTCTGCAATAAAAGATCGCACCTATATGAAAATGAATTTGTGGAAATGGTTTTTAATATCGGACGGGGGTGGCTTTTACTTGATGAAAATCCATTTAACACAAATTAAATTAGAGCAAAAAATGTTCAGATTCTCACAGTTTTTAATGTTTTATAACAGCTGTTTTGGTTTTTTGTTAATAAAGACCGAAAGAGCTGTCAAAAAGCATTGAAAACTGTGAAAAACTGAACATTTTTTGTTCTAATTTGAAATGCTTTCTACATCATTGATACAGAGTGTAAATAGGACACAAATTATCTCTGTCTCTAGAAATATTTACCATATTTTTGGTGTATTGGAACTACCTTGCCCGTTTTTAACTGTAACGCAAATTGACTTTTATAATACGGTAAGTTCTCTATGTACGTCAGCGGTATTATAATGTAGATTAGGCTGTTTCTGATTAAAAAAATTAAAATGCCCATTACCCAAAGTCCTCTCATTTTTAATTTTTATAGAAAGTAAATTGTACGATTCCTCCACACCAACCCTATAATTCGTTTACCACTTTCTTGACACTTATCGTTTATTTAAAAAAATGCTTGTTACTCCTGGCATAAAAGGATAAGTTAACGTTATCATAAGAATACAAAGTGTCATTTTTACAGGTTTTCACTTAGATTGTACGTTAAGGAAATATGGATGGAGGAAAATTATTGCGTATTAATCTCTATTTTCCAAATCGACAAATACAATGTTTGCATAGGAAATTGTCAAAAAATAAAATAAAATGACGCATAATCCAAGACTACAAAAAAAAGACTATAAACAAAAATGTGTAATAAACCGTATCATAAAATTAGTGAAATTAATGATCTTAAAACAAACTATTATTCTATGTGTAGGTCTGTTTTAACTTAGGAACTATGGCTATGCTAAACTCTTATCAGTGAACAATAACACATTTTTCAAGTTATTTTGTAATTCTCGGTTTTAATAATTGAGGTGCCTTGCTTTCTTTTTTTGTTTTTTTTTATTATACTGTTGGTACGGTTTTTTTTTTCGGATATAGTTTCTGTAAGAGACTCAATGTTTCCTAGACTTCCTTTTAGAAGCCGCGTGTGGAATAATAGTATACAAGTTCATCGAAAAAAATTCTTAATTTAAAATTTGATCACAAACAAAACAAAACTACGGATAAACCCTCGAATTATAAAATAAACGGCCTACCTTATGTGCACTCTAGTGTAAGACCCCCGAGGCCTCTCGGATTTTCTTTCTCCACACCATGTCCATTGCAGCAATGTAGTGGGGGTTACCAATCGCAAACACGCGAAAACTATGCGCGGTAATTCGGCCAAACAAAACCCGAGGGCTCATATTATCGCGGTGAAATGACACGCGTTTTTTACCATAAAGTATATAAAAAATTAAATTAAAATAAAAATTGATAAATGTATTCGATTAACCCCGAATCATAAAGAAATCAATATATAGAAAACCCAGGTAATGAATTAATATTTAGTGTCAATATACAAAATAAATAACCAAAACTGAACATACCGCCCACCAAATACAACGGTATTTCAAAAAACAACAAAAAAAAAGAAAATAAACAAAATATGCTAATATTAAAGTTTATCAATTGTGATTAATTGGCCGGCAGAGGACATACCTTAATAACCGGTCGTTTGATTAAACCGTTTTGGGTTCTGACAGTGACTACTCGTGGAACACCGTCAGCACCAGGGTGAATGGAATCAATCCGTCCCAGTCTCCACTGGAGGGGAGGTAAATTATCCTCCTTCAGTACAACTAGAGTACCCGGCGTGATAAGAGTGGTATCTTTATCCCATTTAGCTCTCTGTTGTAAAGAATGAAGATATTCCATATGCCATCTTTTCCAAAATGATTGATGCATTTTGGTCAGTAACTGCCACCTATCAAGTCTATTCATAGGAACACAAGTGAGGTCGTGATCGGGAATAGTTGATAAAGGAGCTAAGGAGAGAAAATGACCTGGTGTTAAACTGGATAGATCGTTGGGATCACTACTCATAGCGCAAAGTGGTCTAGAGTTGAGTACGGCCTCAACCTGAGTGAGAACTGTGTAAAATTCTTCATAGGTAAGTAATTGTTCCCCTATGATTTTAGTAATGTGGGTTTTGACGCTTTTAATGCCAGCTTCGTGTAACCCACCAAAGTGAGGCGCTGAAGGAGGGAAAAATTGCCACTCGATTAATTCCTCAGCGGCTGCTTTAGCCATGCAATCTGCTAAGTATCGAGCTGCACCAACGTAGTTGGTACCGTTATCACTGTGCAGTTTGGAGCATCTACCACGTCGACTGCTGAAGCGACGCAATGACGCAAGAAAGGCAGAAGTGGATAGGTCTGATACCAGTTCCAAATGCAGGCACTTTGTAGAACAACACACAAAGAGAGATAGATAAGCCTTTTGAGTACGGCAACCTCTATGTCTTGACATCAGTATCTGAAAAGGGCCACCGAAATCCAAAGAAGTACATTGAAAGGGCTTGGCTTGGGTAATGCGGAAACTAGGCAAATCGCCCATTTTTGGTTCTATTACCTGAGGATGTGTTCGAAAGCAGCGGAAACACTTATGGACAATACGTTTTATAGCTCCTTTAGCACCCAAAATCCAAAACCGTTGAGATATAAAATAGCGCAAGGCCTGCTGTCCACAGTGAAGGTATCTTTTATGAAAATCCTCTATTATGAGATCAGTCAACCTATGTTTGTTGGGAAGCAAAACGGGATGCTTCTGATCGTAATCAAGTTGAGAGTGAGAAAGGCGTCCGCCTACCCTGAGAAGTCCTTGTTCATCGATGAAAGGAGCAAGCTTTCTTAACGGCTTGGAACAAACACTCTTGTTCGAAAGATTGGAAATGTCTTCATAAAAGGCTTCTGCTTGTACTTGCTTCACAATGCGGAGAAGACTCTGAAATAACTCGTACTCCGTGAAAGGACCCTTTTTAACCACTGAAACCACTTTTAAACGAATGCCAAGAAAACGACGCCAATAAGTAATAAGGCGAAGTATTTTCTGTAAGCATGAATACCTATTCAAAATATCACCAACAGGATTATAGCCTTTTATTACCTTGAGAATGGTCGCTCTTTCTTCTGGTAGTGGTTCGTCCAATTCACCAAGTTCGTGTTTGGGCCACTCTTCGGAGGGACGCGACAACCAAGCTGGTCCCGCCCACCATAAGGGACAGTCAACTAAATCAGACGGAAGGACAGGGCGACTCGCAAGGTCAGCTGGATTGTCTTCTGATTTGATGTGAAACCAACGTTCAGGTGCTACATTGTCTTGAATCTGACTCACCCTGTTTGAGACGAAAGTGCGCCAACGACAGGGCGGTGACCTTATCCAACCTAGGACTATAGTCGAGTCAGACCAAGCATAAATATTTTGTACGTCGGGAATGTTGTAGACATTTAAGGCATATTTAAGCAATTTGGAAGCCATTAATGCAGCACTTAATTCCAATTTAGGAAGACTCAATCTCTTCAATGGAGATACTTTACTCTTAGCATAGAGGAGATAAGTAGAAATTTGGCCATCTGGAGACACGAGGCGAGAATAGATACAACTTCCATAACCTAGCTCTGAAGCATCCCCAAAGGCATGGAATTCTAAACTAACATACTTTGAAATAAAACAATAACGGGGTATTTCTAATGCTGACAGACTTGGCAATTCATTTTTGTAGTCGGTCCACCTTTGGGCAATATCTGCGGGCACTTCACTGTCCCAGTCGATACCTCTCGCCCATAAAGATTGCATTAGCTGCTTAACTAATAGAGTTATGGGACAAAGTAATCCAATTGGATCAAAAATTCTGGAGATTTCAGAAAGTATAGATCTCTTAGTACATGTCGAGTTGAGAAATTGTATGTCGTATGAGAAGATATCCTTCTCTGGAGACCATCTGAGACCCAAAACCTTCAAGTAAGGATCGGATTTAGTGTCAAGTGCGAGAGGTTTCTGTAGAATATCTGAAGGTATAGTAGCTAAGAAGTCAACACAATTGTTAGACCATTTTCTAAGGAAAAAACAACCCTCATCCAATAGAGCAATAAGTTGTTGTTTGATATCCACAGCATCCTCTAAAGATTTACAAGATACACATATATCATCAACATACACTTGGGACGCTAAAATTGCTGCGGCCCTAGGAAATCTATCTCTACCCTCGGTGGCTAATTGTAAAAGACATCTCAGAGCAAGGAAAGGAGCTGAATTTAATCCGTAGGTTACGGTTTTTAGGCGAAAATCTTGAACAGGTTCTCGAGGGGAGAATCTCCATAAAATACGTTGGTAGTCTTGGTGGCTGTCATTAACAAGTATTTGTCGATACATCATTTTGATATCGGCAGTAAATGCTACAGGAAACCTTCGAAAACTTAACAGAATACTTACAATTTCATTTTGTAGTTTGGGGCCAATCAACAAAGTGTCATTCAACGATCGATCCCGCGGACTGCAAGATGCGTCAAAGACTACGCGCAATGCAGTAGTCGTACTATTCGAATTAGTAACCCCATGGTGAGGGATGTAGAAGTGGCGCTGGGCAACGTCAGAGACAGGAGCAGACACGGGTTCCATATGATCCAGCTATAAGTATTCCTTCATAAATTTGGAATATATCTCAAATAATGGAGGATCCTTAAGAAGACGGCGCTCTAAGCTATAAAACCTTTTTAGGGCTATGGAGCGTGAGTCAGAAAATAATGGCTCACCACTGGAAAACGGTAGAGTAACGATAAAACGTCCTTCAGGAGTTCGAGAATGAGTCTCGTTAAAAGAAATTTCAGCGGGATCGTCAAGGGTTAATGAAGACTTGCTACTTGGAACTTCCTCCATTTCCCAAAACATTTGAAGAGTTTTATTAATATCCCGGTTTTCTTCCAATAGTGTGCAACAGGAATATGAGGACTTGCTTTTTATACGATCAATTTTACCCATCACTACCCAGCCAAATAATGTATTGAATGCGACAGGTTCCAACTCTTTACCGCACACCTTCTCAGGCAACAAAATTAAAGGGAATAACTCGCACCCGATGAGAGCATCTATAGGTCCAGGAGTATTGTAGGTGTCATCAGAAACGACTAAATTCTCCAAATGTGACAAGTTCTCGCGACTGAAAGATACAGAAGGCATGTAGGAGCAAATCTGCGGTAAAACGATACATTCTATGGGAAAAGAAGGTGTGTTCTTACCCACCGGGCGGACCGTACAACAAGTAACACCATTCGACGATACAGATGTCATATTACCTAACCCATTAATTGGAATGTTCAAACGAGAGCGGGAAAGTCCTAATTTCTTAAAGCATCTTTCGGATATAAAATTGCCTTGGCTTCCACTGTCCAGTAGTACTCTAACTGTGTGGGAATAACCTTGGCTGTCCAGAAAATCCACTTTTGCAGTCGCAAGGAGCGTAAATGCACTATTAGAATTTATGGAAGTGGTGCCACAATGTGGTTGATCTACGGAAGAGTCATTAGCACTGGGCAAAACATCGTCATTAGGTGGACTACGTTCATTACCATGTGCCGACTCGAAATGTAGTAAAGAATGATGGCGTTTCGTACAAGAAGAACAGGTCTTATTAGAACTGCATTTCGAAAATTTGTGAAACGAACTCAAACAATTCACGCACAAACGGTTGCGTTTAACTAGTAAATAGCGCTCATGAGGAGTCTTACTTAAAAAGACGGAGCAGTTTATAATGGAATGCTGGGTCCTACAGATACCACAATTCAATGTAGGAACGTTATTAGAAGGAGTATTAGTAAAAAATGCTTTGGAGTGATCACCATTATTCCTAGAACCTGACTTATGTTGACGGTTACTGGCAAAAGACTTACTATTATAAATGGTTCCGGCATTTTTTGATTTATTTTCTTCCTGAGTATAGGTCAACGTATCTAAAACCTTACACCTGTTCTTCAGAAATAATTTCAACTGCGCAAAAGTGGGTATATCAAATTTTGCGTGCTCCATTTCAAATCGCTGTAAGGTATCAGAATCGATTTTCATTAAGAGTAAATTAAAAAGCAAAAAATCCCATTCCGCAGTAGGAAAGTTCAATAATTTTAATGCCTCCACATTTTCACAAAACTTATCAACAACATTACGCAGTGCTTGATTCGATGGATTTGAAATTTTGGAAATGTTCATTATTTCATTGAAGTAATGAGTCGATAAAAGCCGTTTATTGTCGTATCTTTTTATTAAAGTATCGTAGGCTACTGCGTAATTGTCATCAGTTATAGGAATATTTCTCAATAAACTGAGCGGTTCTCCGGTTACGAGAGTCAGCAGTAATTGAAATTTTTGTGAAGCGGAAAAGTTCATATTATGCACCGAACTCCTGTATAAATCAAAAAATGTCGGCCACTGTTTTAAATTGCCTGAGAAAACAGGTATATCTAAACGGGGAAGATTAAAATTTAGGTAAGGCGGCAAATTATGGCTCTGGCCTGGTGGCGAAGGTGGTACCATCATGGATATTTCAGATTTTATACAAAGTTCACTATAAATGCTTTTAATTGAAAAGTATTGATCATCAACTTCCGCTCGAATTAGCTCCTGCTGCTCAAGCATTACATCCGTTACTCTTTTATCAGAAATTATGTCCAAATGCAACCTATCAAACTCATTATATGTTGATTCTAACGCCGAATATCGTATTTTAAAATCATTAATTTTAGCTGGGTTCTGTGTAGCAGCAGTAGCTAAATCGTAGATTTCTTTCAATCTTTGTATAAAAACGCTTCTTCTATTTACTTTTGAATCTGCCATGGTTTAAAAATATTTTTAGAAATTTTCTATATCATAAAAAAATGGCAAGAAAGAAGAAATTAAATTCAATTATATTAAAATATGCGAACAACCTCGTAAAATCCACCAAAACCACAATTGATAACAAAAAACAATCAAAATATCGTACACAAAATCAAGACCGCAAAAAACTCTAAACGATTTAAATTCTTTACCTGTTTTCCGATACTTCGTCAAATTTATTCAAGGTCGTCTTATTTAAACGCCTTTATAGTGAATGAAATCAAAATTATTTTTACCAATTTAGTATTAGAAAATGAATTTAGAAAAGACAAAATAATTTTATTTTTGAATTACTGATTCTTTAAAAATCCGGGCTCGAAGACCATATGTAAGAGACTCAATGTTTCCTAGACTTCCTTTTAGAAGCCGCGTGTGGAATAATAGTATACAAGTTCATCGAAATAAATTCTTAATTTAAAATTTGATCACAAACAAAACAAAACTACGGATAAACCCTCGAATTATAAAATAAACGGCCTACCTTATGTGCACTCTAGTGTAAGACCCCCGAGGCCTCTCGGATTTTCTTTCTCCACACCATGTCCATTGCAGCAATGTAGTGGGGGTTACCAATCGCAAACACGCGAAAACTATGCGCGGTAATACGGCCAAACAAAACCCGAGGGCTCATATTATCGCGGTGAAATGACACGCGTTTTTTACCATAAAGTATATAAAAAATTAAATTAAAATAAAAATTGATAAATGTATTCGATTAACCCCGAATCATAAAGAAATCAATATATAGAAAACCCAGGTAATGAATTAATATTTAGTGTCAATATACAAAATAAATAACCAAAACTGAACAGTTTCAATGTTTCCAAACCTTTATTATTATTATTTATACAAATATCTATTATTCTATGACGACAAAAGTCTATACAATTACAGGCACATACAGGTATTACTTTACCTAGGTGCCAGATTAGCCATAATTAATTAAGTTGAATTGCGATTAAAAACTAATTGTTGAATATAAAAAAATAGAGTAATATAGTTGCTAAATGTAATATTCTTTTTTTCAAAAAAACTTGCACAGGCTACTGTAATACTTTTTATAAATCTTCTGTATTCCCCCTGCGTCGCACGGTGGGCTAGGGAGAGCCCAAATTATTGAAACGAACCAATAATACATTTTGTGCAATGAACGTTTTCCTTACCACAGATTAATTAGATAAGCCATAAAACTTCACAAAACAAACGATTTAAGTGGTCTCGTTACAAAAATTGAACTAAGGTGGCTTTTACTTGATGAAAATCCATTTATCAAAATAAATAAGAACTAAAAGTTCAGATTTGAAAAAATCTGAACCTTTAGTTCTTATTTATTTCGTCTTGTTCCCATGCAAACATCAACAATAATTTTGTAACGTTTGTTTTCAGTGTCATTTTGAGAATGTTTTATTCATACAATTTTCCGTGTGAAAAGGGAAGGGAATTTTTTTAAACAAATTAGATTTTCACAAAATTCAAAATGCATTAAGCCCGTAAAGGTAAGTCTTGACAATATTTTATGCTCTAAAAAAAAAGATTCTACATATTAAAAAATAGTTAAAAAAAGTATGTTTGTAATTTATTAAACAGTATGTTACAATTTTAACATAATTTGAGGATATTGTTGATACTATGTATTAAAGTAACATGTTGTGGTGTTACGTGTAAAACACAATCTTGCTCCCACCTGCTCCATTTTATAAAATTAATTTTTAAAGAAGTTACCGGGTGTGCAAAAAAAAACGGGGAAAAATGTATTTCGATATAAGTTTTGACCTATTAATATATAAATTTGTCTCCC